GCGACCCTCTCAATCCAGAACACTCAACTGATCCTCACTTTGCTAGGTATCTTCTTTCCTTTGGATGATACGTAAGGTAACCCAAGTGACCTTCCATGCTTTATATATATATATATTACCAAGTCTCATAACTGGCGAGTCTCTCTCCCTTCAGTAACTCTCCATGTAATTGGTAGCTCGATCAGCAGTCTTTCTCTCCAAATAATTGAACGTTTTTATTAGTTATTTCCCACCGGTATTGCCCGACCATTCCTTCCTTTAATAGGCTGTGAGCGGTGGAGAGTGAGACCATGCCCATCATATAATTCCAACCCCTAAAATATACATATAGGTGGGCAGGAGACGTGATCCTCTTTTCTTCCTCTCATCTATGTACATAAAATATAAGGAAATGTAGTTTGATATTAGATGGGTGGGTGCATGCATGAGAAGCTTTCTTAGTACGTAATCTAGTACGTTTTCTCATCGTATCTCGTAGCCCTTTTGGTTTTGACGTTGAGTCTTCGATTATGCTTGGGAAAACATTATTCCATCTATCGAACCAAATTGATTTGAATTAATATCCCTGGTTTGGGATGTTACATTAGTCGCCCGCTGGGGACTCAGATTGAGAGGGTCTGGAGACCTTTAGTCGAGACTGCAGACTGTTTAAGAACCTCACGCGGTATAACTATCATTGAAATTGAACTTGGTAAATTACAATCCGACTTAACTGCAGTATAGGGGGAACCATATTCGGGTGACCTCTCTCAACTTGAAAACAACCTTTAACTGCTTTGCTTGTTTGCTTGTTTTGGACCTTCACTACACTGTCGTCTCTAAATAATAAGAACTCACGGAGTAGTCATCACACTTAGGACCCGGGTTGACATTAAAACCAAAACCCGCTATACTACGCTTTAGGAGGTGGTTACGCTTGGCCATTTTCTAGAGTGACGGTAGGAGTGAGTCAAACATCCAAAAGTCAAAACCCAAAAAATCAATCATCTTTAACTAATATGGCTGTTACCAACGAGGCTTCAAATAAGGCGCAAAATTAAAATGAGAAACTTAATTTTTCATCAGTACTTAGGAAGAATTAAACTCGTATAGCTGTGCTATTAATATATTAGTTAACACCACACCGAACGTATGAGTCATTAATTGCATCTTGTAACCGCCAAAAAGCCAGCAAAGGTCACTAGAAGCTTGCTCCGATCACACCCTGGTTGAACGCCGACAACCACCATACTGTTTTATGGTACTTGATTACCACAATTTTGTTCATTGAGTATCATACAATCCTCACCATGATTATACTTTTTAATACGAATCACGAAGTATCTAAACCACTATTAAACAGAATACAAACACAACGTCTTATATAAAATAAGAATTTTTACAACATCAAATATCAAATAAGTCTAGCTTGAAAGTCATTTCACCACTTGTTTGCTAATCCATCACGACATACACCCATTGCTCGAGTTTGGCTTGAATTGAGATTGTACGCTTCTCTTTCTTGTTCTCCTTGCACTCCATTGAACGACATATGCTAGTAAATTTTGTACAAATTCATAGTGAACTTACTTTTCAACGTATATTCATCATTTTTTCTCATCAATAACAAAAAAATACCCCCTTCTCGTAAACGTTAGGGTCGTGAAACTCCAAAACAATGGTCTCACTCAACGTTGCACAAGAGAAGATAGGTGTATCAACTAATGGTGACAAATTCATCTTAGTTGAAATACCAGACAATGAGATAGATCAAAAAGAAACTGGAGTAGTATAAAATTTTATGATGATGTGGGCTACCTACTCTAAAAACTATGGGTGGATGTTTTGTTTGCAGTTTATGGATCACCCGCAAATCCCACCAAACTGCACAAAGAAAGTTTGATGATTCTAAAGCTGATTTCCTTACTTGTCCATTCTCTCAACAAGAAATTTGGGTTGCTTTGAGTTCTAGTGATGGATGGAAAGCTCTTGGGTCGGATGGTTGCTCCTTTGAGATTTATAAGAAGTGTTGGCAAATGATGGAAAACTATATCATGGATGCATTCAATGAGTTCCATTCTACGCGGTGTTTTCCTAAATGTATTGCTCATTCTTTCATCTACTTAACTCTGAAGAAGGATGTTGTGGAATACGTTTGTGACCTCCGACCCATTAGTCTAATGGCCAGTTTTAACAAGCTCATGAGTAAGGTCTTAATGAAAATATTGATGCCAAAGCTAGTCTATGATAACCAACAGGCGTCGATGTTAATAAATGGTATATGATTCACGATTGGACTTCTCCCAAGAACTTGAGTTATTGGGATCAACTGATTCTTGACATGCTATAAGAGCCTAGTGGACAACAGAAGGAAGAGTAGAAAGTTGGGGTTGATGTTCAAGCTTGATCTGGAAAAGACCTTCAACAACATTAATTCGAATTGCATGTTCAATATCATCCTGAGTCTAGGACTCCCTCTTAAGTGGCAGCAAAGGATCCTTGAGGTCATGTGCACTTCGATCATTTCCATTCTCATTAATGGTGAATCAAAATGTTTTGCCCCTAGTGTTTGGCCCGTGAATGTACCAAAGGCTAACATAGCAATTATGGGGTTTCGATCTGGACTCCCTCGTCTCATCTCCTCGGGAGTGGAAAAACCTGTGGAGAGGAGGGGGGGGGGGGCGACATCTACTCTCTAACGCCCAAGTTAGTACGGTATAAGAATAGTGTACAGGAAAAGTTGAGCGATATTAGAGATAGAGACCTTAAAGTAAGAGTCTGGGAAGGGAGAAGTCCTTTGGCTTGGAGGGTTTGGCCTCCTTATATATGGTTTGGGCCTCCTTGAGTGGGCTTGGGACCAGGATGCCTTGTTGTGGGCTTGAGCCCATTAATAATCGTTTGTAGAATTCGGCAGATTAATTCATATCCCAACACCTAGCTATAATGGTATGTGTAAAGGTGATATGCAATCACTTGGGCTATTTGTGTTAGTTATGGATAACTTCTCCTTCGTGGTGGCCAAACTCAAGAAAGAAGGAAGGATTTCATTCTTCTTTTTTATGGATGAGAGGAACCCTCGTGGAGAGGTCACTCACTTGATTTTCACTGATAATACTCTTATCTTTTGTGATGCTTCTCACGAGCAAGTTTTGAATATGTTGACTACTATTGCATGCGTCCAAGTGGTCATCAAGCAGAAAATCAACCTTTATTAGTTTGTAATGTACACGGTTGGTGATGTCCTAGAACCTAGGTTCTTTGGTGACATTTTTTTGTTGAAAAGGGCCTATCTCAGTATCTTAGTTTTCCCTTGAAACACGACCCAATGCAGTTTAAAATATGGAACCCAGTTGTCCCAAAATTTTAGAAACGACTTGAAGGATGGAAGCAGCGGCGGATGCAAAACACAAAAGTGCACTGGGCCGCATTTTATTAGAAAATTAGAATAGTAAAAAAAAATAATGATTATAATTTTTTTACAATGTAAATTGTACACGACGGTATTTTAATTTAGCGAATGCATTAATAATGGAGTCCACATCCATACCAATAGTATACACTGTTTCAGATAAAATACTTGAGCAATCGACTAGAAATCCATCGCTCATTTTGTTGCACAAATCAATTTTCACATGTTTCATTGTTGAAAAAGTTCTATTCGTATTAGTTGTTGAAATGAGCAACATCAACACTAGACAAATCAATCTACTAATCTATTTGCATTGTGTTTCCATCCCTATATCCACCAGCTGCTCTAGTAAATTTTCCAAGGTAACAAACCTCATATATGTTTTAGTCTTTTACATTTTAAACTTTTTGAATTTTTAGGTTTCATTGCTTTTTTAGACGAATAACATTTGGGGTTAGAATTTATAAGCTAAATTTAGAGTAGTGATTTTGAATATGTTCATCTGAATTATTTTTCTAATTATATCCAATCTTATTTTAAAATAACAATGACCCGAATATCTAAAATCGAAAAATTCATAAGGCCTATACTAACTATGGATCCAGAGGAGGGCTGGACCGGGGCCCGGGGTGGCCACCCCCTGGATCCGCCACTGGATGGAAGAGCCAGTTTATGTTCTTTGGAGGTAGACTCGTCATCCCCAATAGTATTTGTCTTTCCAGACATCTCATCTTCTACTGTTCCCTTCTTCGTGTTCCTGAAATTATGGTCAATTGGATTGATCAAATTCAGAGTCATTTTCTTTGGAGTGGAACTAGTGCCTCTGGTAAAGAGCACCTTGTGAGATGGGACATCTGCAAAGCTCCAAAGAGGAAAGGAGGTCTTAGAATTATCTATGTCGAAGCCTTCAATAAATCTCTCTTGGGAATATTGATTTGGAAATTTTCTAATGGCAAGGGGAGTTGGTGGTCGAACCTAATTGAGATTAAGTATCATTATGACCTTTCATCCTGGTCGAGTTCAGAGGCCTCTACCACATAAAAATATGTATGTTTTTCTACAAAGGCAATACAATTAATGAAAGATTGGATATCTGGAAATTGCTAGCATAACAACATATTCCATCTTTTGTGAACCTTTTGCTTTTGTTTCAGTGATACATTCATTAAGAATCAAAGTTCAATAACATTGCTGTCAAATTCTATTCTATCAGTACGCAAGAACCGCATAGGAACACTATCTATAACATCGAACTCCTAAACCAACAATTCTCGATCGAAAGGGAGCTGCAAACAGAATTTAACTTCGCGGGGAAGAGATTCATTGAAGTAAATAAGTAATAGTGGAAGAAGAATACATCTGAAGGATCAGGTATACATGAACAAGGAAAAAGAAAGAAAAAAAAGTTCACTAGCAAGTAAAAAAGTTCTGCCATTTCTTTCCCTCTCTCTAAACATGATTATACAAATTCCTGGAACTTAAAAAAGAAAAAAGAGAGATCAAAGTCCATTCTCAGCAATTAGTATCAGAATTTCCTTTCCTGCGCTTTCCCCGCCTCAGGAAACAGCAGCTCTACAAACATAATGATGGAAGGAGAGATCTCTAACTTCTCTCAGTGCTCCAAAGCACTACGCATGGAGACTGGAGGATGTACAACGCTGCCTCTCGATATGAGATCATGATTCAAGAACAAAACTACGACGGTAATGTCATCGTGGAAATGGCGCCTCACCTTCTTGTCGATCTTCCTCAAGTCCGAGTACCTCATCTCACGTTTCCTTGCTGCTTCCTGGAGTGCCGCCTTCACTAGCCTCTTCGCGCTTCCCTGCAAAAAAGGTAATGAGCTTGTTGTTATGAGGGACGGAACTTGTTTTATCACTGGTTCCGAGTCATGCCAGGTATAATACCTCATAAAAAACCACCAAGCTAAGTTTTGTTCCTAATCATTTCTACAAAGGAGCAGCAAAGGGACGAGAAGGTTGAACTGAGTGCCATCAACAAAAGATGTACAAATGGAAGATCATTAATGAAGTTACGGGTGTACATACATGTGTCGATTTGGTTGGATTTTACCCTTTCCAACCTACTGACCCATGAACCTTAGTTGAGCTGACAAGCAACTCGAATCCTTGTGAAAAATAAAACCATCGTTTTTACTAATGTTTGGCTTGGTTTGATTTTGAATGGTCGGGTTATTTGCAATCTACGCTATAAAAAACGAGCAGAGTCAACAAGGCATAATTAGAAAAGAAAGAAACAAGCAACCATTGCAGATCATCTTTCTATCGACTCAATAATGATTTTACTAACTCAAGAAATCACCAATGGTTGATTCTTAAGCTCGGTGGCAGATATATAATGAGATATTGGGATGGCCTGGTTTCTTTCAGGCGTGACTCATTTCGAACCATAAACACCCTAGTTTTGCATGACACCACCCTCGTCCACCATGAAGTTTCATTGGATTGGGTAGTGTACGGTGGGTTGGACTTCGGTGTAGTTTGGTCCTGTCATACATGAATTTTTTCGCAGTTCTCGAGTTAACATTCATCCGAACTACCCCTAAAAACAAGCAAATATGAAGATACCAACAGGCCATTACACTCGAGTTATAAGCAAGCATGACCAAACAAAAATAATAATGATAAGGGGAAATGATAGTTAAAGGAGGGGGAAAGAAAGTTCTTACTGCTTGTGGATGGCTGTGTACGATATCGACAGCTTTTTCATTGCTCAAGTGCTCCCAGAGACCATCAGAAGCAAATATAAGAAATGAATCGCTTGGATGGAGAGGATGAGCCAGGATGGTCGGACTGGCACTCATGATAGGCATGTCCATTGGTTCCGGAAGCCTAAATTTTGAGTTTATTGGTTCCCTGTTAAACCGCGCATGTTTCATGTACACGTCTCCTATAGATCTGGAGACCTGCATACCAAAATACAATGACAAAGTTCATAAGATTGCTGGTACAAGTGTCAAAGGATTCAGCCAGTTGTGGAGTTACGGAAGGTGAGAGCCAATGAATATAACACTTTCTTACTCGACTAACTAGTATTAGCTGTGATTTTCTATTTATAGAAAAAGAACATAGTAAATAGGTGCGATTCGTTGGGGCTTATTATATAGTTGGAAGAGCTTCAGAAGTTGGAGAGTTTTCCCTGACTACAAGTGTTAATTCGAAATTTACCGTCTGCTGATTTTAGTTGTACTGGAAAATCAATTTACTGCGGAAGCTTTTCAAGATGTATAGTTGTCGAAAGTGCAGATATCTCTTATGTTCTTTTGCTATAAATAGCAAGCTACTGTTAATGCTAGTGCAGTTACAAAACGTTATAGCATCGATTTTTTAAGTTCTCAGTTTTCAACTCAAAATCCTATGAGTCAAGAACCAAGAACTTTCTAATGATTGGCAAGAGTCAATCATACAGCAGTTTCTAACTTAATGAGCATCAAAGGTGACTTTCTATTTACAGAAAATGAACATTGTAAATATGTGATTTTGAAGGATTTATACAGCCGGATGAGCTTCACAGTGAGAGGGTTTTCCCCGCTACTATTGAATCAATAGCTAAGAACTTTCTAGGAAATGGGTATGAATCAAAGGCATAACAATTTCAGTTATCCAAAAAAAGCTGTATAAATCCCTCAAAATCACATATTACAATGTTCGTTTTCTATAAATAGAAAGTCACATTTGAGGCTTTGATGCTTATTAGAAAAATCAATATAACAGCTTATAACTTAAATAATATTAACAGCAGACTTCCTAATTTTAGCAAATGAACATTGTAAATATAAGCACTTTGGGTATTGGCACCTATACAGTTAGAAGAGCTTTAACTGTCAATTGATTTTCCTGGCAAATATTTGTAAGGTGTTTTACTAGCTTAAAGAGCCAGTCTAAATCATATTCCTATAGGCATATATACACTGCAACACAACACATAGTAGAGAGTTTCGGAAGAAACATAATTAGAGCATCATTCAAGAAGACTAAAAAATATCAACCTGAATGATTCCTTTCACTCTCCAAACTCCATGTTTCAGCACGACAATCTGCGGATCATTCGGGTGCAACTCCTTGAGCTCGTGCCTGATGGCCTCAAGGCTCGCATTATGCTCGGTCGACAACTGAATAGCCGCCATTCCACCAGTATTCCCAACCTTCTTCCCCAACACAACGCGAGAGTCCCCTAGGTTTGCGATGAAAAGTGTCTGCTGATATATCACTCCCACCAGACAACAAGCTCCGACGGTAGCTAACTGAGGCCGAGAGCTCCACAGCTCGGAGACCACCGAGGTGAACCCTTCCTCTGTGGCTCTAAATGCTCTTGATATGGTGTCTGCAGTCACAGTACCTCCTTCTCTCTCCGCCAATATTGCTGCATTACCACAAAACCTAAAATGCCAACGTAAGCAAGACTAGCTCCATACATATTCATTCATTTCAAATTGCTAGAAAAAACAAGAAGCTAACTAAACTGACCGTCAACTACTCACATAAGCTAATAATAGCTGCCATGAGAATCAATCAATCAAGTTCTTTTACTGTAACTACAGATGACTGTACCACTATAAGCTCAATCAATCAAACAGAAAATTCTTGACACTTCAAATGGAAGCTGATCCAGCTCTGTAACTGGCCTAAACCGCTTAAAATACATGTACATGGATGGGCAATAAATAGTAACCCGATCAAAAAAAGCATCCCACAGTCAACCATAAAAAAAGGCTGGTTACCCTTTTCGAGTAATCTCAAGATCGATAAAAGTTGAATTAGTCCCACGGATTTCACATGGCGGAAACAAGAAAATCGATACAACCAATCCAAAAAGGCCCAATCGACAAAAAGGGGGGAAATTTAATTCTCTCGACATGGGAAAAACGGACCTAGAAAGTTTCTGAACAAGTGATCGCAGACATAGCGAGCAGCTTCGGGCCCGCCATGGCCGTCGTAGACTCCGACGAAAGTTCCAAAGGAGCCCGACTCGATCTGGCTCTGGTCCTCGAGGACTTGATTCGCTTGTACAACAGCCATTGAGAAATCTCCAGACCCATACTTCCCAACATCTCTATACCAAAGCAAACCTTCCTTCCCGCCTCCTCCACCGCCGCCGTCACTCCGACCGAACGGCCTGAAGCATAAGGAAAGCAGATTCATCAATGCCTGAAGCATCCCACATTTCTCAATTGCACGGACCCAGAAAGCAGCTCGATGTGAAGAGAGGATAAAACGGAGGGGGATGAACCCAAGCAGCTGGAAAATGGCGGAGAAGAAGGAAGGGTTAATAAGAATGGCGGAGGAAGAAGGAATGGGATGCTCGGTGGTAGAGGGGCAAGAAAGAAAAGGTCATTTCATTTGGGCTTTGTTGTTGGTTGGGGGAGAGAGTGAGAGAAGGGAAGCAAGGAGAAAGAAAGCGGGGAAGGAAGATGGGTGTGGAGAGAGAGTGTTTTTCTTTTTTTGGGTGTTATTCTCAATGTCTTCTCTTTGTTTGTTGTATTATTGTTTGTTTCCTCTATGTATATATGGGTGGTTTGGAACATTTGATTATGTAAATGATGTAAGCACAAGAATATGTGCTTAGTAAAATACACTTATATAGTCAAAACTTTCGCATTTGTGCTAATAATAGTCAACTTTGGAGAAATACCACTTATAGCCAGAATTTTGAAACTTTTGTGCCAAATATAGCCATTTCCGTTACAAATTTTAACGGTGTTAGAGAATCCGTCAGGTAGTTTAACGTTAGGCTAACTAGGACGCCAAATCATCGCACACGTCAGCGACAAATCAGCCACATTCGCCACGTAGGTGACACGTCATATTTTTAATTTAAAAACAAACGAAAAATTCATATATTAAAAATAATACTAAGTAAAAAATAATCAAAAATTTATCCTTTACTTTAATCAAATTAAATAAAAAATCATAAAAACAATAAAAGCATTAATCACTTCTCTCCACCCACCGCCGAATCCTATTCTCCTTCATCAACCCTAAACTCCCAGAAGCTTACTCTACTCTCATCACCACCATCGCTTGTTCATCTTCATCGTAACGCCTGCCGAAGCCAGAGCCGCCGCGAGTCGCTGCTCTCACCCTTAGAATCTCCAGCAACTCCGCCACTACCTTGTCCGTTATCCCTCTGATTCTTAATCAACACCTCGCTCACGGACGTGGGGTCATCTCCGCCTCAATCTCCTTCCAAACGTCGATGTTTCCTCCAGTGGCTCCTCCTCTCATCTCCGCCGCCTCCGCCTTGTAGAAGCCTGACGAGCCTCCTCTGTTTCCGCGCCGCTCGAGCTGCCCTTCTTGCGATTCCCGATCGGCACCGCGCGTCTTCTCTGCATCAACCAGAGCAGCACCAATATCATAACATAGCCATCCCCATCACCTTCGACTCACGCACCGCCTTCTGGAAATCAGTGATCGTCGTCGAGCCCATGTAACCCTCGCCGCCCAACTCGCTGTCGCTACTATTTATGTACCCCCGCCCAGATATGGGTTTGGGGTTTACAAATTTGGTCAACGTCGTTGTGGATTCTTATCGTCGCGGCAATGCAAGTTTGGGGGAAGATCGGTGGGAAGAGAGAGGTGGAAGATCGGAGATTGGCAATGGTGGGTGTGAGGGGAAGATCGGAGGATGGAGGGAGATTGAAACCCATATTTCATCTTCTTTTCCTCTGACTTCATCTTCTCGATTAAAACCCCGATTTGATGCTTTCAAGATCCAACTTTCGAAACCCAGATTTGCAGCGAAGGGAGAAAGTTGATGCCCTTCGATTGATTGATCCGAGGGAGCACCGACGGTGGAACTGGAACTTTAGGAGGTGGAAGACAGAAGCACGATCCTTTCCTTCTCCCTCTGCTCGAGAATCATCCTCGATCTTAATGGCGAGTTCAGAAATTATGTAAATGGCGATTCTCCAACGGTGATGGAAGAATTGTGAGAGTTTGAAGAATAGAGAATCGGGAGGGTTCAACTACAGAAAATCCCAATCGGATTTTAATTGAATGAGAGTTTCGTCTGAGGAAGGGATAGGGAAGAAGAGAGATGGAGAGAGAAAATGAAAATTATTTATTTTATTTATTTTTAGTTTCCACCTCACATTTTTAATTGACTAACGGTCGCCAACTCAGCAATGCCGTTAGTACAGTCAGCCCGTTACTTGTCACCGTCAAAGAATTGGACGGAAGTGACTATTTTTGGTATTTCACCAAAAGTGGCTATATTTGGCAAAACCGTCAAAGTTTCAGCTACACAAGTGTATTTTGCCTAAAAATTATGTGTATAGTAAGAATGTGTAGTTTTGAAAATTCATTGTTTGAAATCCATAAAATAATTCATGGATTATAGTTTAAATGAACTATGAATACTCAAATCTCACAAAAAAGGTAAGATTATGCATACATCATTTTCTATGTATTAGGAATACAACATGTATTATGAATACATGCATTCTGTTATTACATGGCTTGTTTGGAGAATGTGATTTCAAGTGAATGATTTAGCTAATACATGTAATGGGTAGATTCAGTCGTTTTTTGGTTTAATTTGTTGAAGAATACATGTAATGCTTTTTAATGGACTCACATACAACCACTCAATATGAGTGATTACAAATCTCTATTATAAGTTGAGATTAGGAATGAGTGATTGTCTGTCCATTTTTAAGTTTCATCATTGTCCCTTATAATTTTCATTTATTCCATGAGTACCCTCATAAACCACACTCTCCCCCCACCCCCACCCCACTAATATGCTTGTGTACTTCCCAGTATAGTTAGTAAATACTCCGTTTAATACACGTATATGTACCCGTACGTACTTTATCCGTTTAAAACTTCCGTATCCGTATTATTGTCAAGTCGTTTCATTATTTTCCTTTCATTTGACGGCTCCCGTACTAAACACGTATAAAATCCGTATAACATGTATAATATCCGTATTTAATGAAATAAATTAATAACTTTACGATTTTTTACATATTTATTTATTTATAAAAATAATTAATTTTATATATTTATGACTACTAACGTACTATTAAACATAATATTAGTTAAGATATGAAGTATAATACTCGTACGTATTTTATACGTAACTTTCCCTTACCGTATTTTACTAACTATAGTTCCGAGAGAAGTAGAAAATATGAGAACTCCTCACTTGCTCCTCCATTCGACAATATCCCAGCCCTAAAAAACTCCAAATTAGAATTTGAATGCTGTCAAGCACGACAGAGCCGGACCCAACTCTCGCCGTTGGAAAATCCTCTACAATAGCCCCTACCTAACTTTCGCCGCTGGAGACTTGTCGGGACCGAACTCGACGCCGAGAATTGATGGAGCTTGTTCGTTGTTAAGAAGTTCACATGAATTACTCTGCAACAATAGGTCCTAACATAATGGACTCTAGAAAACTCACCCTAGCTCTAACCCTATCGAGTTCCTCTTTCATCGGGGTGGAAACATCTTGTTCTGGGCAATCTATATTTTCCAGCTGCAACCTTTCCACCATCATTTGAGAAAGAATTGATTCTTGCAGTTCAGTTGTCCGTTCCCTGAGGACCTCGTTCTCTTCCATCAAACGTGCATTATCCATCTTCAACCCATTGATCAAGACTTCATACTTCTGTTTCTCCTTCTCAATTGCCACCTGTATAACGTGCCATACAAAAAATCAACAAGCACTCTCAGGCTTCAAACGCGAAAGGACCAATTATCTAAGCAAGCCATAGTTGAAACCCAGTGAAGCACAACGAATCTGGAACCACAAATCTAATCAACCCAGAAAATTATCTGCTTGGAATTCCATTTAGGGCAGCCGAAGAACTTCCAATTCGGATTACCGAGTGTATGAGATGTTCTGAGGATTGCAACTTGCAAGAGATCCACACAGACATTTGACAGAAATCTCTTCCTCGGTCTCGTCGGGATGTTGTTGGCTTTGTTGCGAGGAGCGCATTTGCTGGAAAAGTCTCGATTCTCAGTAGTGAACGCGTGCTTCCTTCAATTCTTCTTCTTCTCTCGCAAAGAGAGAGCTTCTCTTTTCTTCTATCAATGTAAGGGCTTCTCGTTTGCCCACTGCAAGTGAAACAATTGAAGAGAAGAAAGAAGCAGTATAAAGTAAGAATGACAATGGGGCATGTCTGGGTCGGGTATCTTGATACCCATACATGCCTCGTAGCAGGTTGGGTCCAGGTCGCATAATTTATCATGGGGCGCGGGTCGGGGCATGTCGACCCAATAGGTATGTAATTTATGTGAAAAACTTTAAAAATATTCATTATTTTCATTAAATGACCAAGAAATAAACCATAATATGATAAAATGTAGTTAAAGTATTGGAGAAATTTAGGTTTTCACTTATTTATAACTTTATTATAGCTAAAATATGAGGAGAATTCTAAGTAATTTAACTAAAATTACATGTAATTTAGGCAAGAACGGGTCGAGAATGGGGCGGGTCAGGGCAGGTCGGGACAACGAGAGGTACCCATACCCGCCCCGCCTGGCCGGCGGGTAACACCCGCCCCAAAACAGGCTAAACAGGTCGGGTAAAATGGGTCAGGTCAAAATTGTCATCCCTAGTATAAAGCGAAGGGCAATTGTGACTTTATGCGCTTAAAAGTATTTAATTTTTTCTATACAGAAAAGTGCAATCCCATCTTCCAAATAAGGTATTTCTCAAATTTATATATTGATCCAATACATCTACTTCTAATACATCCATTGAAGAAATGTATCAATTATGTGAATCACATCCTCCAAACAAGCTCCAAGTCAAAATACGTTGTATTCTCAGGATACATGTATATTGAGAATACAACATCTGGAATCGAAAGTTTCAAACGAGCCCATATATATTTTTTCTTTGTAGATTTGTGTGAAATCAAATGATACATGAGATATTGAAATTGGATTTTGTTTACAGTTAAGTCAATTGAGTTTAATCTTAGAATCTGTTTTTGGTTGGGGTAGAAGAATCAAGATGAAGTAGGGCTTTCTACACCCAACGCAATTGAAGTGGAAATTGGTAACATTTATGTTACAATCTATCTTCGGAACAAATTCTTAGATTTTATAGGGATTATTGAAGATTCGAACGCTCTATTTTGCCTAATGTCATAATTCACTCATTTCAAATGGGTTATTCTTTTTTTCTCTCTCTCTTGCATAAGGGCCCGTTTAGTATTGTTGCTTGTTTTTGTTTCCTGTTGTGTTTTAAGAAATTTGGAAAACCAAGAAAAAAAAAGTGTTTAGTTGGGTTTTTATTTTTTGTTGTGAATCAGAGTTGCACAACAAGGCCCAAATATGAGAAACAACAATTTATAGCTTTGGATCTGATTCTTAAACATGTTTCACATGGGATTCTTACTGGATGGGCGCTTGATTTCATTAAAACAGACCAGTTTTCGAATCCCCACAGAAGCAATTTTTTTTTTTAACACAGCCGCCCCCCCAAAACCCTACTTCAACAGCCGCCCCCTACCCATTCCATTTTCTATCTTCTTCTCGACAGAGACCTGCATCGCCCCTCACATCTGCCGCCTCGCCTCCTCCCGCCTCCGCCCGGCGACCCCGCCATCGCCCAGCCTCCCCGCGCGACCCTGCCGTTGCCAGCGCAGCCAGCCGCCCTCGCCCGGGGACCCTGCCGTCGCCCTGGCCCAGCCTCCCCCGCGCGACCCTGCCGTCGCCCTCGCCCAGCCAGCCGCCCAGCCCGCCTCCGCCCACGCAACCGCCGCCGACGCCCTGCCTCCGCCGCTAGTCCGTTGGCCGCCGACCACTTCCCCTCCATAAACGCCTAACTCCATCTCCACGCAGCAGGTAATTTCGACTTCCCCTCCATATACATTCTGAATATGTTCTTGAATTATGGCATGTATTTAGTGATTGATAGATTAGTTATTTGTGAATTTGGATTGATTGCTATGTTCTTTGTTTTGTGGTTTACCTCAGTTATGGAGAAAATTGTTGAAAATAGTGATGTTGATTGTGTGGAGATTCAGAAAAATGATAATGGGGAGAGGGATGATAGCAAAATATGGGGTGATAAAGCTGAATCTGTGTTCATTGATCTTTTGGTGGAAGAAGTTAAAAAGGGAAATCGTGTTACTTCAACCTTTTCACCAACTGGATTCGCCAATCTCATTGCTGGTTTGAAAGAGCGGTTGAAAAGAGACTATACTAAGACTCAAGTGAAGAATAAGTTTAATGGGTTAAGGGGTAGACTCAGATCTTTCAAGACATTGCTTAGTCATACTGGAGTGGGATATGAAGCTTCAACTGGTTTTGTCAGTGCAGAAGAACATGCTTGGGAAAGTGCTGTCAAGGTAATAAATCAATCTCTTTTCAATAATAATAATAATAATAATTAAAATGAATGTTAAAAACTCATTTTACTTAACTTGAGATGATTTTATTAATGAGTGTAGGGTTCAAAGTTGCATCTTAGATTCCGAAAGCATGGATGTCCTAAATATGACAAGTTGTGCTACATATTTGGTGACACATCTGCTTCTGGAAATAATGCTCGTCCTTCAACCAAAGCTACTTCTAGTAGTAATGAGGAAGAGTTGGCTACAACCAAAAGTGTTGAGGTAACTAATCTTGATGGTGAAGAGGAAGAAATTGGTGCAACTCCTGTTGTTGAAAAGGAGGATAAGAACAAAAACAAAGGCAAGGGGAAAAAAAGAAAGCAAGATAAGATTAGCTATGCTGAGTCCATAGGAACATTGTTGTCATCCATGGTTGAGCGAGAGAAAATGAAAGTTGAGCGTGAGGCACAAAAGATGGCTTCTTCATCTGTGGGAGGAGGTGAAGTCTCCTCCAAGCCAAGTGATGATGGGCAACTTATGGAGTGTGTCAAGCTTTTGGATGAGATGAAAGTTAATGGTGCCTTGTTTGCATCAGCTGTGAAGTGTCTCCATGATTCTAAAGAATATCAAAATGTGTTCTTGAATGTGTCCGAAGAGAGGAGGCGTGATTTGTTGCAGCTTTGGATGTGATGGATGCTTTGGCTGTTTTGTTATGTTTAAAACTCTCTTGTTCTGTACTATTTTGGAGTGTTATCATTTAGTTTGAAGTTGGTTTGTAATGAATATTTTTATGAATGTTGGATTTTATTATGATGTGTAATGAATGTGTTGTGATGTTTTTTCTATGGATGTTCATTACTTTACTTTGTATAACAGATAAATGGCTACTTTTTCATATTCATCATCAGACTCTGATGACGATAAATTAGTACTAATAATGCTAGCATTGATGGAGGAGGAGAGGAGGAAGTCGTCTTCTAAAACTCCTTGTAGAACATCAGATAAAAGAGGACATGATTGGGTGCAAGAGATTCTCCGTGGGCATCCAATTCGAATATATGAGCAGTTAAGGATGGATAAAAGGACATTTGTTTCTCTATGTGAGGAACTAAAACGATATGGAGGGTTGGAATCAACAAAGAATGTGACAGTTGAAGAACAAGTTGCAATATTCATGAAAGTTGTTGGACACTCATGGACCACTAGAGATGGCGCAGAAAGGTTCCAACATTCCACAGCCACTATATCAAAGTACTTTGGCATAGTGTTGAAAGCAGTCAACAAAATTGCAGTAAGGCTCATTAAACCACTAGATATGGGTGTGGTTCCAAAGCAGATCATGGATAACTCAAAATTTTACCCGTATTTTAAGGTTAACTTCTTATCATTTATTTCATATTGCACATGTTTCATATTATGATGATCTTGATATAGGTATATTGTCTTACAGGATGCTATTGGTGCTATAGATGGAGTGCACATTGATGCTGTAGTTCCAACTGATGAGCAAATCCCCTATCGAGGACGAAAAGCAAAAACAACACAAAATGTTTTGTGCGTTTGTTCTTTTGATATGCTATTTACTTATGTAATAGGAGGATGGAAAGGCACTGCGAATGATGCTAGAATACTAATGGAGACAATCGCAAATCCAGATAATGATTTTCCAATGCCACCAAAAGGTATGATATCTACATTTCATTCATTTATTAATACAATATGAGTGATAGTGAGATCTTATTAGTTTATTTTCAACATATTCATTTAGGTAAATATTATCTTGTGGACTCTGGATTTCAAAATATCCCTGGATTTCTAGCACCATTTCGAGGAGCTACCCGTCTTTTTCAATAGATGAGGCGTAGAGGCGGACCAAGAGGGCGTAAAGAATTATTCAACTTCCGGCATTCAAGTCTGCGTAATGTGATTGAGCGTTGCTTCGGAGTTTTAAAGGCAAGGTTTCCGATTCTAAAGTTCATGCGGTCGTACAGCTTGAGGAAGCAAACACGTATTGTCATTGCTTGTTGCGCCTTACATAATTTCATCAAGATTCATGCCGAAGATGATAAACTATGTCATGAATATGAAAATTATGAAGATGAAGAAGGTTTGACTTCTGGGGTTGAACTACCACTCACTGAGTTCAACGTCAGCTATGCAGCAACACGTGAGATGACCGAGAAGCGTGATGCCATTGCTAACCAGTTATGGAGTGATAATCATGTTTAGTATTATTTTGTATGTAAGGAACATGAAAGATGTTAGGCAAATTGAATTTTGTGAGACTTTGCTTAATATTGAGGACATATCTCTTTTTGTTTTTGTTTTTAGTTCTTACAGTAGTAACTAAACGCGTTTTTGTTTCTTGTTGTCAGCTTTCATGATTTTTCGGATTTATCAACTAAACATGTTTGTGTTTTCTGTTTTTTTCCTGTTGTGGTTGTACATCTGTTTACACAACACCACTGCAACCACAACAACAACAAAATTATACTAAACGGAGGATAAGTAAATTCATAGTGGAATGCAAATAGTACACCACATGAGATGGTTGATCAAGATTCACTTACAAGAACTTTATATGATCACAAAACATATATGGATTCAAATTTTGAAATTATTAATAATAACAAGTAAAGTTTATGATATGGAATTCATTTGCACACTACTAATCCCATGTCTCTTGGTCTCTTCAATTCTTTAGACTTTTACCCAATACATATTCCTTCCTTTGCTCAAAGTTCTAAAACACACTCCCCCTATATCACACATTTTTGTTTATATTTTTTTTGCATTACTTCAGTCACTATAACTTTTTTATCATACACATCCATAAAGGTTCAAGTACAAAGTCATACACATGGAAAGTAAAAGTTTGGTACTCGACCAATAGTTGAACTACCCATGAAATGCCCTTTTGTGCCACAAGGTGGGCGGTCCTATTACAACGACAATGAGCGAAGGAGCATGAAAATCCAGTGTAGTGAGGGAGAATCGCTAACATCTTCCATAATAAAGTCGTCCAAATCATGTGTTGTATCACCCGCCAGCACTCAGTCGAATCACCAATAGTGAGTCAACGACTAAATGGACAATAAGAAATCCGTGGGGTTAAACATTAATGTAAGGTAACACAAAAAAAAAACTAGCAATTCCATTAGAAATGGATCATGAATACCATCATAGAGTTTACCGGATGCAAGTATAACCTTGCACAAAACATCAAAACCCACAAAATCGGTCCCAATATCATAATTGCATTTCATTGATCCACCAAAACATACCAAAATGCCATTTAGAGGGAATACAAGACTTATCGTTAGCTGAGACGAGTCAGATTCAGTCCCTTTAGTATGATGTATGCCTTGCCATGTACATGAAGGGACCTCGAGAAAGTGATAATGAGGATGGTAACACACTTTGAAGATGCGAGCCAAACATCTGTTTGGATTAAGAAGATGCCTTCAACCCTAATTTAGCAAGCAAGGTAGGGTTAAAACAATCAGTCATGAAATCCTAGCCCCCTTCAAACTTGCGTTGACAAACAATGGACCACAACACCCAATGAATGCCTTTCTCTTTGTCTTGATCCATCCACCACAATCGTGAGAGCTAACTGTTACACTTGCGACAAGAAGTGGTGGACAATCTAAAGAAGACATAGCATTGATAGGATTAACATAACCTATAGCTTTAATACAACTTCCTTGGTTGCCAGCGATATTGCTTTTGAACTTCCAACTCCTTATCCATGCTATCAAAGATTCCTTGATAAATTGGAATACATAAACCTTAGACCTATGAACTTGTGTTGGCATCCCAAGGTACCTGGCCTCCGTGCCCATAATGGATACACCAAGGAATGAGCTTATGGCCTGTAGCTCATGATCAAACACGTTGGCACTCACAAAAAACGAAGATTTTTGTAGATTTACTCATTGAACACTCATTCTACCTTAATCATTAAGCACATATAAGAGGTTAATACATTCAGAAGCTGAAGCACAAATAAATAGATAAGAATCATTCGCAAAGAAAAGGTGAGAAGTTATATGAAAAACAAATGAACGAGAAGTCCATGAAGAGAGAAAGAGACGATCTCAAATAAGATTTTGGAGTAGAATGCTTATGTGAAAAGGACAAAGAAAAGGAGTGATAGTGGGTGACGTTGTCGGATTCCCTCACTGAGGTTGGAAGTATCCATACCAGAAAATGTTTATGAGAACTGAGAAATACATAGTCATGACACAATTCTAGATCCACCGTAGCCATCGATCACCAAAACCCGTGCCTGTCAAAGTTGCGAAAAGAAATTTCCATTCAACCCGATCACACGCCTTCTCCATGTCGAAATTCAGAGTCATCCACTTGTCTCTACCATGCACTCTTACTTTTAAGAACTTCATAGCCTCTTGACCAATCAAAATTTTATATGAGATGGAACGACCTCTAATAAATCCATTATAAAATGTCCTAACAACAAAGGGTAAACTAAACTTAAACCACCAATAAGGATTCTTGCCATAAATTTGTCTAGAACTTGTTACAAACCGATGGGTTGCATATGTTTTAGTCTATGCGTTAGGAACTTTCATAATGAGGGATATCCATATGTTATTAATGATGTGAAACTAGTGACTCGTGTAAAATATAGAAATCTAATAAAACATTAGTACCAATGACATTCCAAAACCTCTAAAAGAAGGCCATTGTAAACCCGTCTAAACTGGGGGCTTTTGAGGCCTTAATAATGAAAACATCACGCCTGATTTCCTCTTTTGTGACTAACAAAGTAAATTTTGCGTTTATTATGCAAAAATGATTCGAGGTAGGTGCAATTGATCCAAATAACCTTGAGGGTCAACCCTGTTGGAAGTGAAAATTCATTGAAAGTATTATGCCCCTACCTCTGCCTTGGCATCCACGGCTATGTGGGTTATCCACTTCTCATCTCGAACAAGATTGATGTTGATTTGTAGACGTTGTAATGTAGCAAGATGGAAGAATCGGGTGTTGGCATCCCCCTCCTGAATCCACCACACACGTGACTTTTCCTTATAATATATTTCCTCCTGATTAAGTCCCAATGCACCTGAGATGGTTCCCGAGCTTCTTCAATGGTTGAGCGGAATTCTCGAATGCGTTGAGCTAAATTATAAGATCCTTTTCGAGTCCAATCCACTAGATCATGCCTATTGAATTTATTATGGAATATCGAAAGAAAGGACTAAAAGCTTGAGTTAGGTTTGGATTTGAAACTAGTTGGTCCCCCATACCTCTTTACCCCAAGTTAAAAGAAGAATTTCTAGAACTTTTGAGTTGACATTCCAGGACCTATCATAATGAATTTTTCTTGCTTGTTGCTCCAATGATTTGGAAAATTGGACGAGTAACATCCAATGAACAAAACCTAAATCTGAAAGATGAATCACCTGCACATCTGGCCAAGCAGAAATAAGTTGTGAATTAGCAAGACATATATCAAGCAATTGAAATCGAGTATAAAAAATAAAGGAAATACAAACAACAAAAAATAAGAGAAATTTCATTAAATTGAGAAATGTGGGTTCCGACATCATCAGATCAAATGGAAAAATATAATCACAATCCTACTTACGGTGGGATGTTAACACTCAACAATTAAAATAAAAGCTAACTCCATTAACACCATACAAGACGCAAATGAGGTTCAGGGTATCACCAATTCCTTCTGGTGAGTGCCAGTAGAAAGTCAACCTTCTGAGGGTAACTGTGACCTATTATTGCTTAAACATAACACATGAAAGTAATAAAAACGAACGTAGATGCTTGCCTCTGAGCTCTTTTATGGGCAAGTGTATCAGCCTACGATTATCCAATTTCGAGACTACGTACTTTGGTAAATAAAGTGAAATTAGTTTGAGATTTAGGGATTTTGACTTTCTAACGAAGAAAAACATAAAAGAAGTGACGAAGGTGAAGAATTGAAGAAGAAGATGAGAGAGAACGTAGTTGTCTTCTCTGCTTCTTTCAACAACATCAAATGAGCTTAAGCAAAAGAGAGCCCAGGGAATAAAAGAGGCCAAGAGGGAGAAAGATAAGATTGAAAGAAGGGTTGGGCTTAAGTTAATGGAACCAAACCGTAAGCCCACACCTCGGCCACTTCAACTCTTCTTTGTCCTTGGATGGGGATCCTTAGAAGCAGATTTGCAGGTTTAAAGAAACAGAGAAAAAAAACTAAAGATAAAAACACATCAGAAACTTAAATGAACAAGGGCAATTTTAACGAGGTTCCCAAACTACTGGTCAGTCATCGTTCTAGAATCAGTACCCACTAATTCTAGGAGACTCTCTTTTTTATTGAATTTTTCCTATCAAGCGAACAAAGAACAAAAACAAAACAATATAGACTCGATGAAGCAAGAACTAAAACGCGGATCCCAATACCCAGACCCGTTAGAGTCGTTAGTCAGATAGAACATTTTCCTCTATCAAGATTAACCCTCTTTGCCCACCAGCCCTTATCTGCTCACTACAAAGATAATACTGATCTGTTGAAAGCAACCGCTTTATATAGCCTTCTGGTGGAGAATACTATTGCATTTGAATTGGCTCTTAAACTAGAGATGGAAAGAATGAGCAGTCCTCTTTCCTTTTGCAAGACAGCTCTGATTTGGAACTTCCATCCAACAATCTCCCCTTAAATCAGAGATTGTCGATTGTCTCCAAAAGAAACACCAATACCTTTTTCGAACAAGAGAGAAATAATCCAGTTAAGAGAATCGAGCAATAAAATACCATCACTTGAAAAAATCATAACTAGGTATTCAGATCCTAAACTGAGCGCTCAAAACATGCAACTCCCCTCAAACAAAAATCTTCACTCAAAAACAAATTTAAGCAATCCAAACAAAAGAAACAATAAGCTCCCCTTAAGCAGCATCATCATCTGATCCATATTCCAGCAAGGCCTGCAGAGCCATAACAAAGGGCTCCAGTTCTGCTACGTCATCTGCACCACTGCTACTGCCGCTATCGCTTTCAGTGTCACTGCTAATCCAGAGAACATCATCCTCCCCTTCAATCGCAATCTCAAGGGCGTCCATCACGACATCAGAGGAGGGGAACATCGAGGGAGAGATAGAGCGAAATAGCGAAAGATCCATAGTAAGACGCAACAACAAGATAGTGATGAGAGGACCAAAAGGGAGCGAAGCAGTGAGATGAGCATCATTGAAACGAAGGAGATGGCAAAAACCAGATCACCATAATGAAGAGGCACCCCGTGAACGACATGGGAAAGAATCCAAAGATCGAGAGGCAGCACTATATCGAGGAAATCAGAATGAGGAACAAAGAGCCGAGAGATACAAAAGTGATGAACCCGAAGGGAAGGTAGAGAGCAGTAACTGACATAATATGTTTAGGAGCACGATGTTGACCTGCGAGAGCATGAAACTCATAAGCATAATCAAAGGCAAAAAAAGGAAGATCATTGGCATCAACAAGCCTTTCACCTATCCGAGGAATATTGAGAAGATGAAAGAGGTCATCGATGTGAATCGTAAACAGATAGCCAAAAGTGATAGACGTCAATCAAGGTACGGTTCTTCCTTTCAACTACCCCATTCTGTTGAGGAGTGCGAGGAGCAAAGAGACTGTGAAAAATCCCAGAATTGTTGCACAGAGCTTCAAAGTCATCGGAAATAAATTCCCCACCATTATCAATATAGGGAAAGTATGTTTAAATATCAACTCAGGCCGGTCCATGTACCCCTACTTCGATTGTTTGAAACATTATCCAACGATTGGTTTTTGGCGAAAACAACGATCTATAGCTAAAACGTTTGGAAAAGTAAATGGATTTGACATAAATTGAGAAGGTTTCACTCGGGTGTTGCTCCCCCTAGATAGCAATTATGACTTGTTGGATCGAATGGTCATGTGTGGTAAGGAGGTTGTAAACCGTAACGATGTGCAAGTGAACAAACACCACTCTCTTGGTCAATAGGTCAAGGGAATTCGATTCAAGCTACCAAAGTAGCTCTCTTGACCTATTGACTAAGGGTTGCCAAAACTTCACCCTCGAATCGAAGTTCAGACGACCAAATTACAACCAACCCTAGGTGCTAATACGAACAAAGAGGGTTGCTCTTCATTAACCTAGACAGGAGACAAGATATGCCTGAGAAAACCTAGTTTTGCAAGCCTCTTTCAAAGAAAGGGAGTTTTCTCTCTACCTAGGTTAGAATGTCAAATAGATTGATAGGCAAACACACAACACAACCTTTCATGAAAATACCTCCAAATTCATATTAAAACACATCCACACACCAATCATTCAACTCATACAAACATTCACATAATTGTAGCTAGGGTTTACAAACATCCAAGTAAAATAAGGGACTACTCCATGCTAGGAGAAGGGAAAACACAAGGGAGAAGAAGGGAAACCATTATGGAGATGCTAGCATTGCTCCTTGTGCTAAAGAGATCCTCCTTTGGGGAAGGAATTCCAAAAACCTTGCTTGAAGATGAAACCTTAGCTTTTCTCTTCTTTGGTTCGTCACTTTCTCACTCTAGAAATCTGAAGAAGAAGAAGAAGAAGAAGAAGAAGAAGTTTCTCACACTAGGTCTCTCCCCTTTCTTCCTTCAGCTCAAGCCTCTTTTATACCCAGGTTGAGCTAGATTCACGGTCCCAGTTCACGGCCGTGAACATCTGGCGGGGACCGTGAACTGGAGCAAAAACGCACATCGTCATTTAAGCTCTTCATGGTCTTTGGCTTTGGTTCACGGCCTTACGACTGTGAACTGACTTGAGTCCAATGAGACCGAAAATGGCTCTGGACGCATTGTGCTTCACGACCGCTGGCTTCAGTTCACGGTCCTCTTGACCGTGAACTCTTTGCTTCTGTCGTGAATTGTGGTTGCCTCCCTCCTTTGACCTGACTTTGCGCCTTTTCGTCCAACTTCCGACTCTGAGGCTGGTTCCACATGCTGGAGTCTGAAACATGCTAAACTAAGGCAAAACCTAGCGTAAAACCAAACCTCTCAGAGTGAAAATGCCTCAAAAGCCTAAGGAACGGGGGTAAAAAGTATACAATTGAGCCCAAATCATTAGCTAATAAGTTCGTCTATAGACAGAGTTCGCAGATCTTTAGCTTCTTCAATAGCAGTGCGCTTAGGTAACCATTCCTTGGGTAAGGATCGCAAAAATTTTCTGTTAAGATCCTAAGCTTCAAAACTTCTCTCAAAACCTTTTAGTTTATTGATTAAGACAGTGAACCTAGAATACATATCCTGAATAGTTTCGTTTTCAAGCATATCGAACCCCTCATAATCATGAAGTAAAAGATCAATACGATTTTCTCGAATATTTGAGTTACCTTCATATGTGTTATCGAGGGACGTCCAGATTGCTTTGGCAGAAGTGCAATGTTCCACTTTATCTGCTTCGTCTGGTAACATGGCTGATTGGAGAACATGCATTGCTCGTTGATCAAGCTGGGCGCTTTTCTTCTGAGCCGCAGACCATTGAGCTTGTTCATCGATATTTAGCGGAACGACTCCATTTTGCACGACCAACCATAAGTCTTCATCAACTCCCCAAATGAATGTTTTCATGCTCTTTTTCCAAGCAGTGTAGTTGATCCAGTAAAAATTGGTGGATGATTAAGAGCCGCTTGACCAAAACTTGAGGAAGCCATGGATCTGTACTTGGCAGTAGCAAACTTCGTCAAACCCTAGCTCTGATACCAATTGAAATCAGATTGAGATTTAGAGATTTTGACTTTCTAACGAAGAAAGAAAGAAAATAAGTGACGAAGGTGAAGAATTGAAGAAGAAGACGAGAGAGAAGGCAGTCGTCTTCTTTGCTTCTTTGAACAACGTCAAATGGGCTTAAGCAAAAGAGAGCCCAGGGAATAAAAGAGTCCAAGAGGGAGAAATATAAGACTGAAAGAAGGGTTGGCCTTAAGTTAATGGAACCAAACCGTAAGCCCACACCTCAGCCACCTCAACTCTTCTTCTTCCTTGAACAGAGATCCTTAGAAGCAGAATTGCAGCTTTAAAGAAACAGAGCAACGAAAGTTGAAGATAAAAACACAGCAGAAACTTAAACGAACACGAACGATTTTAACGAGGTTCCCAAACTAGTGGTCAGTCCTCGTCCTAGAATCAATACCCACTAATTCTAGGAGACTCTTTTTATTGAATTTTTCCTATACAGCGATCAAAGAAGAAAAACAAAACAATATAGACTCGATGAAGCAAGAATCAAAACCCGGATCCCAATACCAAGACCCGTTACAACAGTTAGTCAGATAAAACCTTTTCCTATCTAGATTAACCCTCTTTGACCACCAGCCCTTTTGCGCTCACTGCAAAGATAATACTGATATGTTGAAAGCAGCCGATTTATATAGCCTTCTGGTGGAGAAGACTGTTGCATTTGAAATGGCTCTTAAACCATAGATTGAAAGAATGAGTCGTCCTCTTTCCTTTTGCAAGGCAGCTTTGATTTGGAAGTTCTGTCCAACATAAAGAACGTATAGAGCACATCTATGAGCTCAAATTTGACTAGATATGCTCAACTCGACGACACTGAAACACTCCAGAACTTTTCTTTTTTTACCTTTTTCTTTAAATATCCAATTTCCACCACGTGAAAATCGAATTTCTTTCAAAGATGCCACATGTTGTTTAATCCTTTTTATGATTCCATGGTTGCCGGTAGTTGGAAGCATATATCATATTCTGGTAATTGGCAATGTCCTGTGGCAGTATTGGAGAAAGGACATTATATATCCCTCTTTTGTTGTTTGCCTGAGACAGGATTGAATAATGGGGTTCTTTGTTTGTTCTTTTGGGGTTTCCTCATGTGATGGCAACGTCCCTTTCCCCAAAGGCAGCATACATAGTTTTAGCTCCCCTAGTCGGCCCAAGTCGCTTTTATAGACGTTTAACTCTTCCAAGCTAAAGCAAATGTGATTTTCCCCCTATTGCAAATTGTTTTACCACATTAACCAAGTGGGAAATGGTGCAAATTATGAGTGATTGTATACTACTTTCTGTTGGATGAATGATGAGTTAGATTAGAGGAAGAGGCCATCCCTCAAATAGTGAGAAGAAAAAAGTAATATTTCAATTTGTCATGAAAATTAGTGTATGAAGTATGCAGGGGCGAAGCTAGGTGAGGTCTGGGGGGGGGGGGGGGGAGAATTTTAAAACCTACGTATAATTTTATAAGAAATTTAGGGAATTACGTATAAACAAATCATTTTATATAAATAATTTTGTGTGTAAAAAGAGCCACAAGTAGCTTGATAGTGTAGTGGTAGGCATGCTCAATGCTTCTATCATTTAGCAAAGTTCGAATCTTGGAAGGCACAAGTTTTTGAACTTTAATTTTTTTTCTTTTTCTCTCAATATTAGCTTTTTCTTTAAAAAATTTACACCATTGATCACGGACATAGTAATGCATTACGTTAATGTTTTCACTTTTTTTTTGTTGGCACTTAAAAGTGTTAATTTAATTTTTATAAGTCTTTATAAAGTTAAGTCATTTTGAATTCGTAATACGTTATATTAATTATCTTCAAACATTAATATGTACATATATCTATTTTCCAGACATGCTATACATTGGAATGCATGATTTATTATTTTGTTCATATAATCTAATAATTTGTTTATAACATAATATCGTAGAAATTTAATTTTTTGTTCATATAATTCGCATTTTCTTGATAGTAAACAAAAAAAATTCGACCCCCCCGAACCTCAAATCCTAGCTCCGCCCCTGAAAGTATGCACTACAATTGTATCCATAAGCAGTGTCTCACGAAAGGGAAGAGCGGTGCAAATCTAGCTCATCTTGTCATTTGAGATTAGCCAATTTTTCTCACGGCTAACTGTAACACTCAAGTAATCTCATACTTCCAACCAAAGTGGCAATTTGAGGACTATTTCAACTTATTGGACATTAATCTTTGCTCATGTGATTGAGTGATTCTATGAACTATGAACTTGTCTTTAGTTGCAAATGGGGTTTGAAAGGCATGATTTATTTTTATTATTAGAAGAAATGCATACTTCGATATAACTTTATGCAATATAACTTTATGCAAATTCATGGCAGGTTTTTTAATGACTTTAACCAAAAGTCTAATCTTTATCGCTACTACTAGTTGTACACACTGCCGTTAAAAGCATTATTCTATGTAGAAGTGTTTTGGTGACATAGAAGCATAAAAGTGTATGATTGTAAGATTTAAAGCGCGATTTTGACTATATTAGTAAGGGAAAAACGCGAGTCTGCATATAAGCGCTTTGTTGACCTAAAAGCGTTAACGTAAGCTTTTAAACTTTTAAGCGCTATTTTAACTACATAGTGTAATGTAACGATTGACGGTAAGCCACATTGTAAGCTTGCATTTCCATAAATAAGGGGCAAAATGTCTGATTGCATGGTTAAAAGAGTATGAGATTACCATTAACCACCAAATTGCACCTTTCCAATTGGTTCAAAATGTTAATTAAGCTGAAAAGACCCATTAACTGCTATGCGGGCTGATTAGGATGAAAGCCCATCAAGTCACCAAATTGATGGGCCAAGCTCCGGGTAACATGCCCCGGGTTCGTTGCTTGCTCCGTTGTCGAATTGCCCGAAATTTGTGTTCACCGCCTGGGCCTGGACTTCCTTGTTACGTGAAAATCAGACAGTTGGGTCCCTTTACTGATGCTGACGAGTTGACTAAAAATAAAATGACCAATTTAATAGGAAACATTATTTGGTGGTCAGTTTGTCACATCGCCATTGTATTAGGGATCATTATAGCACTTTTACCGTTCCAACTTCCACGCCGTGGGTGAGGTCGCAGTCGCGCTTGTTAATCCGGCCTCGAGCGTACAAAACGCATAGGAAAGCGACAAAAAACGGCAGCTTCAACAAACAATCCTTATCTCGCACGCTTCCCGACGTCCAATTTCCACTTTAAAGGAAGATTACAGTACTCCGAGTCTCAGAGGTTCAACTAACCATTTCTTCCCAAATCCATACATTCCTTCCTTCTGAAAGAATCGGCACGAAATGGAGCCCGCAGATTCAATCCTGGTCGCCGGCGACCCGAACGGAATAGTCACGATCACGATCAACCGCCCTAAATCGCTGAATTCGCTCACCCGGGCCATGCTGGTCCGCCTCGCAAGGGAGTTCAGCGCCCTCGGCCGCGATGAATCCACCAAGGTCATCATCCTGACCGGGTCGGGCCGGGCGTTCTGCTCGGGCATCGATCTGACGGCGGCGGAGGACGTCTTCAAGGGCGACGTGAAGGACGTGGAGACCGACCTGGTCGCGCAGATGGAGCGGTGCCGGAAGCCGATCATCGGGGCGGTCAACGGGTTCGCCGTCACCGGCGGGTTCGAGATCGCGCTCGCTTGCGATATCTTGGTCGCTTCCAAAGGAGCTATGTTCATGGATACTCACGCCAGGTGATTTAGCTCTCCCTCTCAAATTTTTTTTCTTGGACGGTGAATTGGTCAATTTTGGTTGATTAGGTGGAGAACTCCTTAGCGTTTTAATCTTTCCAAATTTGGAACTGACCGCCGTAATTTCAGCGAGGACCATGTCATAAGGAAACGTTTCTAACGGTAATGGCAATCTTTCCTCATATGAGAGGAAGTTCAGTGGTTTGAGTTGTCACCAAACTGATTTCATCTGGGGATAAACCGAGGAAAAACATTTGAATTTTGTAACGGAGATTGAACCGAATTATACTTTGATACGATCCGGTTTCGTCCAAACGTTGATTTGATCCGATTTGTGGCCTTAGATGCTAACAGGGATGGCTTGATACAATCCTGTTTGGGATCAGATCGATAATGAAATGACAGATGACTATCAGAACCAGACCAATAACGCATTCGATACGATCTGGTCTGGAATGGTATCAATTTGGTCGATTTTAATTGACAATCGAAACGAATCCGACTTTGCATAAGTTCGGTCCAATGCAGATAGTGATTTGGTCTGCTGTAGTATTTCTTTTTTGCAAGCCTATATGTGCTGTGTACCCTAATTAATACTTTGTTTGTGTGGTTTTGTTAAGGTTTGGGATATTTCCTTCGTGGGGTCTTTCCCAGAAGCTGTCGCGGCTAGCAGGGGCGAACAGAGCTCGTGAAGCATCGCTGACCGCAATGCCAATCACGGCGGAGCAGGCGGAGAAATGGGGGCTGGTCACCCACGTCGTGGAAGAAGGCGAAGCATTGAGGAAAGCCCGGCAAATCGCAGAAGCCATCCTTAAGAACAATCAGGACTTGGTGTTGAGGTACAAAGCCGTGATCAACGACGGGCTGAAGCTGGACCTAGGCTCTGCTCTCTCTCTCGAGAAGGTAATATAGCCAGCCCTAAAGTTTAGTGACCATTTATGTGTAGTTGTGAGTTTTTTGTGTGCGTTGGTGATGTAAAGCTGGTTGTAACTGGGACGATGTGAAATGAAATCATCAGGAAAGGGCGCACAGCTACTACGACGGGATGACGAAGGAGCAATTCAAGAAGATGCAAGAGTTCATCGCTGCCCGCGGCTCGAAGAAGGGTTCTTCCAAGTTATAGTACTTCGATTCAATTCAGCATCCGCATTGTGGAATAAGAGATGGGGGGAAATTGGAAATGCAGTTCTTTTTATGGAGAAATGATTAATAAGTTGGTATTTAGAATCCAGTTCTGATTTTTGTTCTTTAGCGAGCGCAAAATCATAAGGCTGATGGAGAGTTTCTCTGCGTGGTTGGTTTATCTAATGGAGTTGATGAGAGTTTCTCTACTTAGTTTATCTGATGGAGTTCTTGGGCGATGTCTCGGTTAGAGCATCTCCAACGGGATTGCACATTGCAATTGCACTTTGATGTGGCAGAGAGATGCAATTGCTTTTTTCCATTGCACCGTTGGAAGTTGTGATTGCAAAAATGGTATCTTTCATTTGTTGCAATTCCCCATTGCAAGCCACGCTGGAAATGCATAACATTTTTTTTTATCTCTTTTAGTTCACACTGCCAACGTGTGACTTTGTTTGGCATAGTCCTAATTTTTATTGAAAATTTTTGGATAATTTTTGTGAACAATGTGTGTAAATTAGTTTATTACTATACCAATGGGAGTAAATAGCATCGTATAATAATTTTATTAACTATAATAAAAAATACATAATATTATAAATAGAAAAAGTTATTTTTTATAACTTTAATTTCATATATACAAATAACGAAGTTATTATATTGCTTTTTTGAAAATATTAACTTATTATTTTATTTAATGTTCATTGTCATAGTACACTCCAAATTTAAAATGCATAAAAATTAAACTACAAAATATAATAAGAAATGCTATATCCAAACAAAACAAATATCAAAATAATGAATATATATCACTTGTCTTCTAGTAGTTGGTTAATTTTCCTTTCATATAATCTCCTTTGTGCTACAGTCTTCGTTGATAAATCCAATTTCATTTAAAATTTTAGATATAAGGTTTGAATTTATTTTTGTGTCCTATTTGAATATTTTGCTAGTAATAAAAAAAATTATTGAGTAGTAGATTCTTTATATTCCATTATCAAGACAAAAAATTTCTACATAAATTAGTAATAAAAAATTTATGCATTAATTGTATATATTTTTTTAAATTAAATTAAAATTTTATTTTATTTACTTGCCACGTGGATAAAAAGGTATTTAAAAATGTTTTTTTTATGCATGACAAAAAAAAGTTAGGCTTCATATGCAATTGCAAGTGAATTGCACCAATGTAGGTACAATGAAAGTCAAATGAGTTGGCTTGCAAAAATAGTGTTGTGTAAAAAAAATTAAAAATTAAATTACAAATGCAATTGCACCCATGGAGATGCTCTTAGGCGATTGAGTTATCGTTCATGTGGGTGTGGTTGGTTTTAATAGAGTTGACAATTTTCAATCCAATCAAATTCATCAATTCCATCTATTAACTAAAATATCCAATTAATTCAATCTATTTGATCAAAATTCATTTAGATTGGTGGATTCATGAATTGATTCATGGTTCCAATGATAAATTACGGTTTAGTACCTATACTTTTTATATTTAAAATTTTGATATTCAAAATTTATTTTTTATATGAAAAATTTCATTGAAAAATTACGTTTGACACCTAAATTTTTTTACTATGTCATTTTAGTACCCCCAAACTTTTCAAATCTTGAAATTGGTCAAAGACTTGGATGTCATTTGAATTCTTAGATACCAAATTCACTTGATTCAATCCATCAATCCATCAATCCATTTGATCCAAACAACTTAATCCGTAGATATACCAATCCAACCCATCAATTCATGTATCCAATCCAATTGTTACCTCTAGTTTTGAAGTATGCTGCAGAGTTTATGTCGACGCATATCTTGTTTCATATTCTAAACCCAACCAAAATCATTTTGCAACCAACAAAACATATTATTTGGGTGTTTGCCATGTATAATACTACTTTTTAATTTTAAATAATAATTATATGTTAACTTTCTTTATAAATAGTGGTATTTGTGAACTAAAAAGATAATGCCTTCATAAGTCTCAAATTTTAAACTAATTACAAATACTGGTATTTGTGAACTAAAAAGATGCACCACTACGTAGATGACCCTCTTCGTCGCTTGTGAAATTCGGGGAAAATAAAAAAAATTCAACTTGGAGAGGAGACAAAGCAATAACATAGAAAATAAATAATATAAAGAGAAGGATAGAAGTGGGCTAACATTAAATAGGTAAGGTCGTAAGGACATAGTTGGAAAATTTGGACTAAGTAATGAGTTATTTGGAAATGACTCGATAGAGTCATTTGAGACTTTTGTATGGACGAAATGACTTATATATATATATTTTCTTTAGCAAACGACTCATACAAATTACTCAAACAAACGAATCCTTAAAATAAAGCTTGGATGTACAAATTGAAGTTGTACCATAAGGGATTTGAACCTTTATGTTATGATACAACTTTCAATTGTACCATTACATAAATGTACAACTTTAGTTTGTACCAAAAAGATATTTATACAAAAAGAGTATAGGTACAACCTAGGGATGGCAATTGAACCCATGACTGCGGGTACCCGACCGCTCCCGACCCAGTCAACGTGAGGAATCCATGCATTGACTGGGTGTGGGACTGCTGGACGTGTATGGGAAAACCCCACAAAACTTTTGATGGGTATGGGGTGTGTATGGTTTTAGTTTCCCCCGCCCAAACCCATACCCATACCGGCCCCACTAAGAGCATTTATTCACATATAAAAAATAGATGGATCAAATTGTAACCTATTAATGATAATGAGGAAAACTCAAGAAAATAAATAGGTAGAAATGCAATTGAGTGGCCACCCAAATCAAAACCTAATTCATTTTCTTCAACTCTCCATTCACTCTTTCACTTTTTCTCTCGTGTTAACAAGATCATGTTAGTTAGTAGATGTAGTAGAGCCAGAGAATAATAATTCAGATTGTATTGTACTCTATTTTATTGATTAATGAATGTTTTAGTATAACATTCTTTGAACCGTATTAAGAATGATTGTCTCTTTTGTCGACTTATGATATAGTAGGTGTGTTTAATGTTATAATTTAAAATTCACATGTAAAATTGTAGGTATTATAATGTTAGATGTACGAGGCGGCTATTTCACATGTATACCTGAAACCCACGGGTATGAGGAAGTGTTTGCAAAACTTTCCCCGCATGGTTATGGGGTGGGTATGTGATAGAAACAAAGTTCCTATTGGGTTTGATATTTGGGGATTAGGGTTTATACGAACAGAATTAGGGATTTGAGAAGAGAAAGATAGGGAATCGGTCTAGGCCTTTAGAGGGATTGGGAACGAGAATTGAGAGGATCGAGAGAATAGGGTTTAGGAGGGTTTTCTTAATATTCTTCTTATTTTATTGAATAGATGAGTAACAACGTACATATATAGGAAAAGAACCATAAAACCCTAACAATTAACCTAATACAACTTAAAGACTAATTATTCTAATATAATAATAATTATAGAAACCGAACAGAAGTTGGTTTCTATCATCCCCTCCCCCTTGAGACCAATCTTGCTCTCAAGGTTGACCAAATAAAATAATACTACTAATTCTATCGATATATGGAGCCCAAAGGAGCATGATAGCCATGTCCGCCCTCGTCTCTATAACTCGAGCGGCCTATGAACCCGCTCCCGTCATCGCGGCTGAATCGTCGTGCACCTGTCTTGATTGGCCGCGTGTGGCGATCGTCGAAGCGCCTTGGCGGAGGCCAATACCCATCGTCATCATACTCACGTTCATCTTCATAGTAATCATTCCAGCTCTGTTCCACAGGATACACCTGTCCTGGCTTTAAGAATGCCGTCTCGCGGCCATGGTAGACACGATAATTAGCCTGTTTGGTTCGCCGTGTTGAATCAGGATCAAACCCATGTTGGTCCATTGCATCGAACAATTGTTGGTTTGGTTGGGAACCTTTGCTCAAAGGGCTAGAGCCATAATCAATCGAACCATACTGCTTCCCGTACTGCTTGCTCCGAAGTGGCCCATAATCGATCGGTCCAAAATTATGGACCTTGTAGTTCACGAGCTTCGAACCCCCTACATCTCGATGCCTTGCGTTAAAGTCGGCTGAAAAACTGTTGCCTGCAAACTTCCTCCCCGGCGTAATGTAGGAGTCGTTGCTTCCTTGATCATCGAAGTCGTCGTCGACGTCGGGATTGGTATGATTCCCCAAGGGACGACTGACTAATGGAAAGCCGACACCGAGGGGTTTCTCGCCAAGCCATGAAGTCGTTGTTGGAAATATATGTTCCACGTGATGTGGCCTGTGGTTTATGGATAATTGTATTAGTTATTTGTTAAAGTGGGCTAATTATAAGTGGTCAAATTATGGAGCCCAAGACTACTCAATATCTTATATGGGCCCAATGAGTGGAAACCAGATACTAAACCTAATTAGGGATTTATGGGAACCCTAGCTAAACATAGTATATAAAGAACCTAGAGGTTGTGGTCCCCAAGACACCAAGACCAAAACTACACACATATTCTCCCCATCAGGAATATGTGAGGTTTCCCGCGAGTGGACTAAGGAGGCTTGGTTGAGGAAGGCCACTAAACTTCCCGGATCGTGCTTCTGAGGTATCGTCCGGTTAAAGATCGTTCTACAGATTCCGCATCAAGCTCACGACGATCTACCATCATGAATCCAGGTATTTAGATCTATTCGCCTTTGATAATCTGACAAGATGTATTCTGGGGAATTACGTATTTCGATTAATTTCAACAAGTGGTATCAGAGCCATTCATCTTTGTTTGATTATTGAGGTTTTGGGTGTACTGGTTTTATATTTCTACCTTGTGATTCATTTGGCATGCTTTTGTTCTAAAGGGATTTTTCGGTTTCATTTTTTTTTTCATCTGTTGCATCCCAAATAAAAGTGCATTCACTGTTATGGGAAAGGATTGCATGATGAACCGCATCAATCATATGTTTTTTTTTGTTTTAGTGTAATTTTTTTCCCGTAGCTGATAACAAGGGGTCTATTCTTGTTAGATCCACCAAGAATGGAAAATTATGGTATTGGCATATCTTGTGAGTGAAAACTTAAAAGGATCAATTCTCTTCCAGTATTTTAAATTGATTTGATTCTTTACGTTATGTTGCCAAAGTAACCTCTAGTGTGAAAATTGATCAAATTAAATTACTTGGATGTATAGTGTGTGGTTGTTTATGCGGATAGTGTTCGGCCCAAAGGTAGATACTATTTGGCTAAATGATGATGCACCTTAATGATAAATACGTGACGATTGTAAAGTTTATTTTCATGTGAATGATAGTTGGTCCAAAGATAAACTATTATTTGACAGAACTCGTTATCAGTATTTGATCATTTTAGTAAGAGTACCGCTCGCAGTTAATTTCTCTGTCCAAAGACTAAGAGTTAATGTTGCATTTGGTATCTTAAGATGGGTTTCAGAAATAAAACTTAAATGTCTGAATTTTCTTCTCATGTATTTTGTTTGACATGAGTGCATGTTTTCTTGTTTCTTTACAGTGTCTTTAGCTTCTGCTTCCAATGTTTCTGCTCAAATTAGCAATATTCCACTATTGAATGGGACAAACTTTAAGATCTGGAAAGAAACCGTAGAAATTGTTCTCGGTTGTATGGATTTGGATCTTGCACTGCGGTTGGAGCGTCCTGTTTCTACTCCGGATAACCTTAATGAGGTTAAAATAGAAAAGTGGGATCGCTCTAATCGTATGTGTATGATGATCATGAAGCGCTCTATTCCAGAAGCGTTTCGGGGCTCTATGACTGAGAATGAGAGCGCTAAGGGGTTCCTTGAGGAAATTGAGCAATACTTTGCCAAGAATGAAAAATCAGAGGCAAGTAATCTTCTGTCTAATCTCGTTTCCATGAAGTATAAAGGCAAGGGGAACATAAGGGAGTACATTATGGAGATGTCTAATCTCGCATCAAAACTCAAGTCACTAAAGTTAGAGCTGTCTGAAGATTTGCTCGTACACTTGGTTTTGATCTCTCTCCCTGTACACTTTGGGCAATTCAAAGTGAGCTATAACACTCAGAAAGACAAGTGGTCTCTCAATGAGCTTATATCTCACTGTGTGCAAGAGGAAGAGAGGCAAGCGCGGGATAGGACTGAGAGTGCTCACTTAGCATCAAGTTCTCAAAACAAAATCAAGAAGAGAGCTAGGGATGTTGCAGAAAAGTCTTCTCAGCAAAAGAAACCAAAGATGCAAACTGAGGGGTTTCCTTGCTACTTCTGTAAGAAGACTGGGCACATGAAGAAGGAGTGTCCCAAGTATGCCGTTTGGCGTGAAAAGAAGGGTGAGCTTCTTACTTTAGTTTGTTCTGAAGTTAATTTAGATTTTGTGCCTATGGATACTTGGTGGGTGGATTCTGGTGCTACCACTCACATAAGTGTATCTTTGCAGGGCTGCCTGTGGAGCCGGCCACCAAGTAAGAACGAAAAGTTCATCTATGTGGGGGACGGCAATAAAGTTGCAGTGGAGGCTATCGGAACTTTTAAATTACAATTAAAGACTGGATGTCATTTGGATTTGTTTGAGACTTTTGTGGTGCCGTCATTTCGACGGAATTTAATTTCGGTTCCATGTTTGGACAAATCAGGTTATTCTTGTTCATTTGGAGATAATAAATTTAGTCTCTCACAAAATTCAGTTTTGATTGGTACCGGTCCATTGATTGATAATCTATACATGCTTGATGTGATTAGTTCCCATAATGAAATCCTCCAAACAAGTTCACGAGGTACAAAGCGAAAATTTAATGAGAATTCTGCTACTTTATGGCACAAGCGCTTAGGACATATCTCCAAACAGAGAATTCAGATGCTTGTGTCTGATGGAATTCTTGAACCCTTAGATTTAGCAGATTTTGAAGTCTGCATTGAGTGCATTAAGGGTAAGAGAACAAACATTAAGAAATTGGGTGCCAATAGAGCTCAAGACGTCTTAGAACTCATTCATACTAATATATGTGGTCCATTCCCTACAGCATCTTGGAACGGTCACAAATATTTTATCACGTTCATAGACGATTACTCTAGATATGGTTACCTCTTTCTGATAAATGAGAAGTCGCAATCCTTGGATGTTTTCAAGTCTTTTAAGGCCGAAGTTGAACTTCAACTTGGAAAGAAAATTAAGGCTGTCAGATCGGACCGTGGTGGAGAATACTATGGTCGATATGATGGATCCGGAGAACAACGTCCAGGACCCTTCGCGCTTTACCTCAAAGAGTGTGGGATTGTGCCTCAATACACCATGCCAGGAACACCTAGCATGAATGGCGTTGCAGAAAGGCGCAATCGTACTCTTAAAGACATGGTAAGAAGTATGCTTAGTCATTCTTCCATACCGGAGTCACTTTGGGGGGAAGCTCTAAAGACTGCTGTATACATCCTTAATAGGGTACCAAGCAAAGTAGTAACTAAAACCCCTTATGAGCTATGGACAGGCAAAAAGCCTAGCATTAGGCACTTGCACATTTGGGGTTGTCCAGCTGAGGCAAGGCCTTATAAGCCACATGAAGGAAAGCTAGACTCAAAGACTGTAAGTTGCTACTTTGTTGGTTATCCGCAGTACTCTCGAGGCTACAAATTTTACAATCCCACCTCACGATCATTCTTTGAAACGGGGAATGCGAGATTCCTTGAGGATATTGAGTTTTGGGGGGAAGGAAACATAAGGAATGTTGTCTTTGAGGAAGAACAAGTCATTGATAGTGATCAGGTTATCATACCTATCACTAGTCCTGACATAGTTATGGAACAAGACAACAATGAAATTCCTCCTCCTGTACCACCAGTGGAACAAAATCAACATCCTCAAGAAGTGCCACTTAGGAGATCCACTAGAGAAAGAAGAAGTGCGATTCCGGATGATTATGTCGTCTTTCTTCAAGAACATGAGGATGGCATAGGCTTAATGGAGGATGATCCTATCAACCTCGCTCAAGCCATGCGCAGTTCTAACTCTGAACAGTGGAATAGTGCCATGAAAGAAGAGATGAAGTCCATGTATGACAATGACGTTTGGGATGTTGTTGAATGCCCTGAAGGAGTAGTTCCGGTTGGTAATAAATGGATATTTAAAACCAAAAGGGACTCTAAGGGTAAGATTGAGAGATTTAGATCACGTCTAGTCGCTCAGGGCTTTACTCAAAAGGAAGGCATTGACTACAAAGAGACTTTCTCTCCAGTGTCTGCGAAAGACTCTTTTAGGACAATAATGGCACTAGTGGCTCATTTTGATTTGGAGCTCCATCAGATGGACGTGAAGACTGCGTTTCTCAATGGAGACATTGATGAGACGATTTATATGGTTCAGCCACAAAACTTCGTTGTGGGAGATCCAAAGAAAATGGTCTGTAAACTTAAGAAGTCCATCTATGGTCTCAAACAAGCTTCCCGTCAATGGTATCACAAATTTCACAAAGTTATTAGCTCATATGGTTTTGAGACTAATCTTGTTGATGATTGTGTATATCACAAGTTCAGTGGGAGTAAATTTATTTTCCTGGTGTTATATGTTGATGACATTCTACTCGCCAGTAGTGATATAGGCTTACTGCACGAAACCAAGAAATTACTAACAAAGAATTTTGAAATGAAAGATCTTGGTGACGCCTCTTTTGTATTGGGTATTGAGATACTGAGAAATCGCTCTCGAGGTATTCTCAAATTATCACAAAAGAGCTATATCGATAATGTTTTGAGTAGATTCAACATGAAAGATTGTAACCCAGCAAATACACCAGTAGCCAAAGGAGACAAGTTCAGTCTCGCTCAATGCCCCACAAACAATCTAGAAAGAGCGGAAATGCAGAAGATCCCTTATTCATCTGCAATAGGGAGTCTTATGTATGCTCAAGTTTGTACTCGTCCCGATATAGCTTTCATAGTGGGAGTACTGGGCAGATACTCAAAGGATCCAGGTATGGATCATTGGAAGGCAGTCAAGCGTGTGATGCGCTATCTAAAGAGAACAAGGGATTACATGCTTACTTATCAGAGATCAGATAGTTTGGAGGTCATTGGGTATTCTGACTCTGATTTTGCTGGATGCCAAGATAGCATGCGCTCTACATTTGGCTATATCTTCATGTTGGCTGGAGGGGCTATTTCTTGGAGGTCTGCTAAGCAACGTCTTATAGCTCCTTCCACCATGGCAGCAGAGTTTATAGCTTGTTATGAGGCATCTGATCATGGATTGTGGCTGCGAAATTTTGTCACGGGGCTGCGTGTGGTAAACAACATTGAGAGGCCATTGAAGATTTATTGTGACAATAATGCAGCAGTGTTGTACTCTAATAACAACAGGAGTTCGACAAAGTCAAAGTTTATCGATATCAAGTACCTGGTTGTTAAGGAGAGGGTTCAAAATGGACAGATTTCTATAGAACATATTAGGACAGAGTCTATGCTAGCTGACCCATTAACCAAAGGATTACCGCCTACTGCATTTTATGAGCACACTGCTCATATGGGCGTTATTCTGGATGATACCTTGGTTTAGTGGGAGTCATTTCGATTTGTTCTATAGACATTGATTTGTGACTCTGCAGAATAAAGTGTTTTTTGTTTTTCCTCAGTTTCTGTTTTGAACCTTAAGGTGTTTATTCATATTATGCAATTTTCTTGCATGAAGTGCTTTTTGATCTCACTAAAGTTGGACCAGTTGAAAATAGGCATGTTCAAGATCACATTACATGTAATTTTCATGCCACTCATCCATATTTGATCTATGTCATTGAGTGTATAAATGTGGTGATCATGGTGGTTTAATCATTATCATATCATGATTGAAGCCGCGTTGGTTCCACTGCTATACATGAGATGGACAAGATTGTTAAGGAATAGTCATTGTACAAATAACATTTGGACGCGCGCCTAAGGAACTTTGTGATATAATTATTTGCATAAACCATGCAGCCCAAGTGGGAGATTGTTGGAAATATATGTTCCACGTGATGTGGGCTGTGGTTTATGGATAATTGTATTAGTTATTTGTTAAAGTGGGCTAATTATAAGTGGTCAAATTATGGAGCCCAAGATTACTCAATATCTTATATGGGCCCAATGAGTCGAAACCAGATACTAAACCTAATTAGGGTTTTATGGGAACCCTAGCTAAACATAGTATATAAAGAACCTAGAGGTTGTGGTCCCCAAGACACCAAGACCAAAACTACACACATATTCTCCCCATCAGGAATACGTGAGGTTTCCCGCGAGTGGACTAAGAAGGCTTGGTTGAGGAAGGCCACTAAACTTCCCGGATCGTGCTTCTGAGGTATCGTCCGGTTAAAGATCGTTCTACAGATTCCGCATCAAGCTCACGGCGATCTACCATCATGAATCCAGGTATTTAGATCTATTCGCCTTTGATAATCTGACAAGATGTATTCTGGGGAATTACGTATTTCGATTAATTCCAACAGTCGTCGCTTTGGCTAGCGGTGCAGTGGAGTCATCCGGGAAGGCAACCTTTGGCGTCTCCTTGTCCGCCATTGGTGGTGGTGGGGGCAACTCGATCTGCCTAGCTGGTGCGGTGATTGCCACTTCTTTCATTGTGGCAGCCGCAACCGACACCGGAAGTCGCTCGAGTGCTTGAACCCTCTGCTCAAGGGTGTTGTATTTGGCGGTGGTGGACTGGGCCAGGTCGGCGATCATCGCACGGAGTTCCGCGAACTGGTGAGAGATGGCTTGAGTGAGGGTGGCTTCAACTGCCGCCATTGCTGCGGGAAGGGCGTCGAGAGAGTTGGTTGTCATTGAAGGTGGTTGCGGTGGGCTGCAAAAACTTGCTAGGGATGACGTTGCTGCGGAGGGCTTTGCTTGAGGGAAGCTATTCCCAAACGGTTTCTTTCTAGTGAGCAAAATAATAAGGAATATCAATTCCTTCCTTGTGCACACGAGCACCAAAGTGGAGAAGTTAGGTGGCGGTGTTGGTAAGGAGAAGGGTTATGGAGGTATGAGGTGGTGGGGGCTAAGATGGATCGGAGGATGGATGGAGATTCAATTGAATCAGAAACGTTGAACTAGTTTCCGGTTAAGAGTTGTGATGAACTCGTATTCGTAACCGGGCTCTGATACCAAATGATAGAAACAAAGTTCCTATCGGGTTTGATATTTGGGGATTAGGGTTTATACGAACAGAATTAGGGATTTGAGAAGAGAAAAATAGGGAATCGGCCTAGGCCTTTAGAGGGATTGGGAACGAGAATTGAGAGGATTGAGAGAATAGGGTTTAGGAGGGTTTTCTTAATATTCTTCTTATTTTATTGAATAGATGAGTAACAACGTACATATATAGGAAAAGAACCATAAAACCCTAACAATTAACCTAATACAACTAAAAGACTAATTATTCTAATATAATAACTAGCTTTTTACCCGGCCCGTTGGCCGGAGAGATTTATTTTATAATTTACATGTTTAAATCATTTTGGATCTTCTAAATATTTTGTAACAGAGTTTGCAGTATGTTTATATTGAAATTTCCAATATTTAGCAACTCACTTGTGATGCTTCGGTTTTCGAATCATAAATTATGCCGCTGTCACGTCCCGTTTAGAACTTATGTCAAAATTTGTCAACCAAAACACTAATATTTAGCGTATGCCAACCTAAACCACACACACATATATATAGTTCAAGCTAGCGTGCGCCAGGAGTACGTTATACTCTTGCGTTCATACTACCATACGACCATTGAGTTTTACTATTTAGACCCGAATTAACCGGATTTTTTGGGGCATTATACTATACCCTAACCTCTAATAGGTGAACTCTAGTCCCTAATTCTGTAACCTCTAATTTATGCACATACTTCATAATACCTATCTTCTATCGTATCTTGAGTTAAATAAAAAGTATAGTATACCTTGATATTACATCTACATGTATATATATGTGTGTGTATGTATATTACACTCAAAGTTATCTAGAGATCTCGCTTTTACCCCCATAACGCCAGAGAACCATTGGGTTGTCTATTGTTCGATATATAATATATAAAAAGGTAGGGATGACGGGATCATAGCTCGATATGGTTTTATTATGTTCATCTTATCAGAGGTTATGTCCTTTTTTTGCTTTTTTTGGCTTCTTTTTCATTCTACTTTAGAACCTATGGTTGTGATCAGAGGTATTTAGCTCTCGAAAAGGATTGGGATTTTAGGTCATTTGGAAATCCAATACACATTCATGATCCTCGAGTTTGGACGAACTCTCGACCAATGTTGTAAAAATTACGACTTTTTAGTGAGAAATTCTTAGTAAAGATACTTCATTATTGGATTTATTCATCCATATTGAAACTTGACACACACTGTAGCCCTCATGATGACTAAATTCTCTAATCTCGACTCATTTCCATTTTGGATGTTTGTTTTTTTTTGTCCAGACACTTAGATTTAGTATATTATATAATATGTATCCATTGTTAATTTTTGAAGTTTATACTAAACCTCAACCGGTGGTCATTGTTTATATGTTGACTTAGAATCTCAATCTAAGGCATTCACACACACTATCGAGGATTTTTGGTCTTAACATGGTCGTTGAATGTGTAATTTTCAAAGATTTTATCGCTTATATATTAATAATTGATAAAGAGTGTCTCCAATACACACATATTTTAAGTGCATTTAAAATGTCTTATCATTTGAACAATATCAGTGTATTTCATTTAATTATTTGCATTAACTTATTATCTTATACAACATATATTAATTCGTTTTTCTCGAGTCTAGACGAACTGAAAACCAATTTTGAGAGTTGAGATTATTGGATAAAGATACTTGATTGCTGGATAAATATGTTTATCCCAATTGACGATCTTACTAAAAATTGCCAACCTTTATTTGGTAAATGCCTATGTTAGTAGTTGATGAAACGTGATGTTTATCGTAGATTCTGAACAAAGATTTTTCTAACCTTCACATCTATTATTTTTCAAGGAATCTTGTGTCTCATCCTAGGGTATGAATTCAAAGTTCATCAACAATCATACTTAATTCATTTTGAAATTTTTGATTTATAATCGTCGAAGATAACTCCAAGTTTGAAAGAAAATTTCTTAGCATACGACTTAGAACCTCAATAGAGCGTGCTCAATCAACATGATATAGAGCAAATATTATTAATGTGAACTTAGGTCACATTATCAAATTATTGCACATGCGATTCCTTTTCATTTGAGGAATTTAAGGTTGAACATGATCTGAATGAATAAGAATTTTTTTTAAATAAATAACTGTAACTACTCGATCAAGATTATACTATGACATTTTGCTAAATAATACTGTTTTATTTTATAGATATATATTGTACGAATAAGATAGTGTTTCATTGCAACAAAATATAAAGTAATTTAGTTTATTTTTCAAAGGTAATTGAATGACAAATATTTATTTTCTCTCTTTTCATATATATTTTGGTTTAATCGATTAAAACATAATTGTTTATGTGTATGTTTGTTTATTTTTTCATCAAAATATAACTTATCATTGAATTTTAGTAATAATGAGTAGAAAATTTATTTCATAAGGTTTAATCAGATATTTTTTATTTAAATAAATGTGATATATGTCACTCTCTTTTTTCTTATTTATATTTTGTTTATTTAAAAAAATTATTATTTATGTGTGTTTGGTTAAGTTTATCATCATGTAACTTATTATTAAAGACAAAAAAGAATAAATGGATAAATAAAAAAGAATAATTGGATAAAAGAAATGGAATTATTAAAGAAGAGAGAGGTAGCTCCATAAATACATTAAAAACTAATTTTTTGTTTGTAAAAAAGTTGTCCAACTTGGCAAATTGTGGATCCTCCAAGTGCTTATGTGGCAAGAAATTTTTTTTGAATTGCCATAATATATAGTATAGATATAGATAATTATAGAAACCGAACAGAAGTTGGTTTCTATCAGTATGAGTTTTGGATATTTGAAATTGGGGATGAGATGGTTTAGAAAAACCCACACCAAACCCGTCCAGTTGTCATCCCTAATACAAGCTGAAATTGTACCATAATATTAAAGCACAATTTCAAGTTATACCATAGCGGTTAAAAGCACAATTCTCAAGACACTAGAGGGCAAGCAAGTCTAATTAGTGAGTCTAACTTTTGACATCATGTAGGTCGAGTTGGGCTAATTTGGACTGGGAACCAAGTTGATTAATTAATGTCACGAAGATTATGACAAAAGTTTCATATCCTTGTGATGCATAGGCTGCATGTGACAGAAGAGCATTATGGATCCTCCCCTAACCAAACAGGACTTCATTGAAAATAAAATGAAGAAAAGTAATCAATCAAACTATTTCACATTACAATCCATATATATTAAATGAAAATTTCGCGCCAAATTCAAACTATTTATCAGAAACAAACAACTATTCCACGTCAATCATTAATCAAATTGATGTATCTATCTATCCCACATTACAACTCACAACCATAATATTTCTTTTCTGATTTCGCACCAAACTAAAATCTCACTAAAATAACTCCCATCAACAAACCTGATATGACCTATGAAAAGTTCATTCATTTCCCACGGTAGCTCACTGTAAAACTACACAAAAAGGAGAGACCACCAAGGTTCAATGTTGTAGCTGCAGTCACTCATTTCCCACTATAGTCCCCACTGGAAGACCATCACAATTCACAGATCGAAAACGGACACCATGAAACACTACAACAATGAGTTACACAACAACAAAGTCTAGCATTAACAATAAATCTCCCTAGTTTCCCAATCAGTAAAAGTACAGGAAACAAATTATTCATCCTCTGTTTTCTCAGAGCTAATAGGATCAATCAGACTTTCAGCTTGCAAAACGTTCAAGTACTAGGGATGGTGCAGGAATCATGGCTTAGTAATCTGCACGAAGAAAATGAATCGAGTTTAGTTCACCATCAAAGGAACATTGTCATGGAAGATAACGGTGATGAGAAAAAGGAATGCATGTAGGCTGTAGTAGCCATCAGAAATTCACAATCTAGTGTCACATTGTCCCATACATTTAAAACCAACATTCCATATCGAGTTCAAAAAGAGGAGCATGGTTTCGTTAGACGGATGGACCCACCTCAGTAACTCGATCGCCATAGTAAATTCTTGGAGCAGACCTGCCGAAGAAGTAAGCAATCACATCCTGATGATGATCAGTTATCACGGCCCTGTCTTCCTTATGACGCAAAGTCAAGGACTTCAATCTTCGAAAAGGCGAAGGTCGACCTCTCAACAGCTGACAAGCACTCCAGAATGCCTAAAACCAGAGCGTAAACCCAAACAACATGAAGAGAATAAGCTTGTCTTTCAACCCACGTAACATATATCAAAGACCAAGAACAACTTCCATAAATAGGTGCAATGGCGAAAAGACCATAGAGGCATAGACCAACAACTTAGATAAATGCCCTGTAGCAGTAAGATATGATATGAGTTGATGCACAAATATAGTTATTACCAGCGAGCTTACCGTGGTGGTACCAAATTTGAAGATAAGAGATTCCGCTCGACGCAGACCATGGATTAACACTGCATACCGATTCTGTACGTTTTCCTTAATCTCGTCAACAGTCGAATCTTTGTATCCCTTCAAGTTGACAGCTGCATGCTCTAAGGATGGAGCGTCCAAGGAGACTTCTGTTATCGGATAAGAATCGAGAATCTCGAACTTAAAAGTAAATGATGTGAGCTTGGCAGCTGAAACTGTGATCTCGGAGAAACCAATTGGTTTGTTTATTTCCAGAGTCAGCAACTGGTGTCCGTTTACTCCCAAGACGGCAGTATCAACAAGAGGGTCGTCATCCCGGTGAATATGGCGGAAGCAAGAACTCAGGCTCAACTGCTTCAACGCTGGGAACCCAGCAAAAGGGTCGATTTCCTCCTCCCCAATGAAATCAAAGCAGACCCCGTCCAAAACCAATTCTCTGAGTACTCTGAAACTAGACCAGGACTCCCGCCCAAATGCCGTTACTGAAAACTTGAATTCTTCCAGCTGCAGTTTCTCCAGCGACTCGGCACAAGTGGAGATCGATTCGAAAGCAGTCTGCGAGTGATGAGACTCATCCATGAATCCAGAGCAACCGAGAACCCGCAGATCCTGAAGCCCTACTGAAGGCACGCATTCCATGAGTCTATCAAAGTTTTCGGTTTCGGATTCGTCCGCAAACTCGATGGTGATCTTGAGAGACTGAACCATATTTCCCCCCCCACCTGCTCGATAAAATGCGGCTTAGAAAACCAGTCCAGGCGTCTAAAAAAAACAACGCACACAAACAAGATTCAGTGCATATGCCAAAATCGCAGCCGTCAATGGATCATAAGGATGCACATAATCCTTCCGTCATCTACAAAGACCTTGTTCGAACAAGCGCGGAAAGACTCAAAATCTTGGACATAGCTTACGAACAGATGGAGTGCATAGTTCAAGAACCGTAACCAATCAAGCTCTGAAACAGAGGGAGAGAGGGGGGTGGTGGTTACCTCGACGAGAAACTGGCCGAGAGAGGGAGGAAGCTTCGAGAGGAAACGGAAAGAGAACTGGATTTGGGAAACGATCGCGTGATCTGTTGTCTCGCTGCACCGATCAACTCGGCGCCGGCAACTTGGAGGGAATATTAGTTGATGAACCGAGGGAAAGAGGACGTCGTCGCTCGTCGGAGCAACCGTAGCGGAAGAGGAAATGAAAGGAGAAAGGCGACGGTTAGAGAGAAATGTGCACAAATTGCACAGTGGCGTTGGGAGGGAAAATTTTGCTTTTCGCCACTTTTGGTTTTGGAGGCAGAGGAGGAGGGAGAAGAAGAAGACGGAGAAGAAATCGCGAAGTGAAAAAGACGGACGTTTTGATTGGATTGAAGGGAGAGTGCGGATCCTGTGACTAAGGGGGGTCCTTAGTCAAGTGACTAAGTCCTTCCTAACCCTTAGATCTAGATATCCTAATCTAAATGTTGAAAAGTGGGAAGAGATATTTAACTAACAAAAAGGGTAGTTGTGGTATTATAAATAATTAATTTCCTTTTTCTTTACTTTTTCCCCGGTCACACTTTTCAACTACCTCACGTCTCTTTTTTTTTTTAATACAATTCAGCTGCTTTTTTATTGGAGCTGACTTTTCTTTTATTAAATGATTTTTACACTTCCCAGTCCAACTCATGCACATGCGTTTCCTTGATTTTTTTTTAATCAGTTTTCTTATTATAAAAATAAAAATCACAGAATTAAAAAGTATAAAAAACAATATTAAAAAGTATTAGAACCACATAATATAAGTATACAAATCAAGATAATATTATATACAAAGATTACTAAAAACAAAAAAATCACTACTAAATATTACATAGTATACATACCACATCATAAAAGTATACAAATTAATATTACAAAGTATATAAACCCGTGATCACATCATAAAAGTATACAGATAATACTGACATTGTATACAAAGCATACTAACCATACAAAATACAAAGCATACAAAACATACAAATCAGAAGTATATGAATGTTACAAACATGACCGACAAAAATGACAAACATGGTGAACAAAAATTACAAAACAAACCAACAAACATTACAATCATAAAAAAGCTTACAAAATTACAAGATAAACCGACAAACAGTACAAACCATACTAACAATACAAAACACCACTACTTATAATACAAATCGATAAACTGGAATTACAAACCAATAAATACAAAGTATACAAAATAGACAAACAAACATTACAAATTACAATGTATACAAATTAGTTATATAAACATTACTAACATGGTAGATAAAAATGACAAACAATACAAACCGAAAATGATATAAACATTACAAATGAGACTTATAAACACTACAAAGTAGGTTGACAAATATTTCTCTCTCTCTCTCTCGTTGCACCTGGTGGAAATGGTGGAAAGAATTCCCAGAACTCTCTCTGGTTGAACTTGGGGAATAAATTCCCATAACAAAAAGACAGGCGATGGAATTCTTTGCCGGCGGGGAAAAAAAACGAGACGGACGGCAGCAGAGAAGAGCCGGGGAAAAAATTATTTAGTAATTAAAAATAAAATAATCATGGACTTACAGTTTTGCCCTTCATTAAAGTAGATTAATTGTAGCCATTAGATTTTAATGAGATGGAAGGGCTGAGATTTACTTAGTCATGTGACTAAGGGACCCCCCCTTAGTCACCTGATCTTAGCCCTTGAAGGGATGATAGGGACGGAGAGGGCGTGGGGCCCTCATATCTCTCTCTCATTTATACTGCTGACTCATCAGTCTGATATATTTCTTCTTTCATTACCATAGAAAATTGATTTTTTTTTTCTGGCCAGCTATTTGGAAAAAATCTCACTGTACACGTGTTTTTAAAAAAATTTCCCTAAATACATAAGTTATAAAAAATTTCCCAAACTACACATGTTTTTGACAAATGCAGTGAAGCCAATCACCGCGTTTGACAAAGACGATGAATATTTCACCGTTTAAAAAAAACGGTGACGTATTCACCGTTCTTCTCTAAAACGGTGAACAACGAGTGAGTCAATCACCGTTTTAGAGAAAAACGGTGAATAGATCACCATTTTAATTAAACGCGGTGTATATTAAACCGCTTTTGTTTGCCACGATGAAGCGACGTGGATCGCTGACGTGGACAAACACGGTGAATATCCATCCCGTGTTTGTTTGTGTCAGCGATCCGCGTCGCTGACCCACTCACCGTGGTCGTTGGATGCGGTGAGGCGCGGATCGTGGTTTTCTTCCCAGATCCGACGCCTCACAGCACGCCACGTCTGCTCGATCCGCGTCAGGCACCGGTTTTGGGAAAGGCGATGCATTCACCGCCTTTGAGGGACGTGGTGAATGCTCCCCATTAATCTGCGCAGCCCCTCCCATCCTTCCCTATAATAGAACCATTCTCCCCCTCTTCCAAAGCACAACACCACATTTACAATTCTTTCTCCCTCAATCTATCCGCTCTAGTCTCGTTCTAAGTATGCTCTGTGGTTGCGGCTAAGTCCGATCTTCCATTTTTGGTTTCAAATGAAATTTTTACATAGGCTAAATTACACGCTTTGGTCACTCAAATTATATAAATATTTCACGTTTGCCACCCAAATTATTTTTCGTTCATATTAGCCACTAACTTTATGATCGTTTCACCGTTAGTCACGACTGTCAATCTCCGTCAAACTCCATTAATACTGTTAGATTTATAATGACGTGGCAAACAGGAGTGCTGACTGGGCTGACAAAGGTTGAAAAAGACGTCCAGTTAGCAAAATAATCTACTCTAATTATAGATTTAAAAAAATTGTCTAGTTCGGCGTTAATCGAAAGAACCAGAGTCGCGACGGTAAGAATCATCTTCGCCTCGTTGCCCATGCCCGCAGCCAGCTTGTAACCCTCCATCTCTCCAGAATCCAACACTGCCCCCCTCAAAAATCGTGACCCTTCACCCTCCAGTTCGATCCCAAATTGTGACCCAGGAAAAGGTAGAATCCACATTCAAAACAAGCGCGTGGGAAGGTATTCTCAAATCTAGAAAACCTTGTTCGCGGAGCCGAAAAGCAAACCCAAATCCCAACGCCAGATCGGGCACACGTCCTGTTTGGGCCACATTACAAATGAGAATCGATCTTGCAAAATCAGAACAGGGGAAGGCATATGGGAGAGGGAGGAGGCTGATTGTGGTGCGGTGATTGATATTAGACAATCTTGCATAACATATAATTTGGGTGGCAAATGTGAAATATTTATATAATTTGATTAATCAAACGTGTTATTTAGACTTTTTACATGGGGATTGCTATTCGTCGCCCTAAAACATGTTATGCAAGATTACTGTATTAATAAACAGGGTAAATAATATTTTTTACCCAACCCTTTTCGCATTTTAAAATATTAATAAAACTTTTTAAAATGATTAATATTAACCAAACCATTAATAAAATTACAAATTTATTGCCCACCACTCTCTTAATGTTATTAAATGATTGACCGAATTTATTACACCTCAGCATGTCATGTAGCCTTTAGGTAAGTAGGTTCATATATCCAGCATATCAATGCCACGTCATATATAAATATATGTTTTTAAATTTCAAATTCATCTTTATTTAAAAAAATTAAAATTGGAAATAGAAAAAAAAATTAGAAGGGGACATCGTGTCTACTAGGGATGGCAATGGGTTGGGTTTTGCCAAACCCAAACCCATGGGTTTATTCGTGAAAAAAATCGGGGGTAAAACCCACTGGGTTTGAAAAACTCAAAACCCAGCGGGTATCTGCGCGTTCATGGGTAATCACGGGTTTTTGTCGTAAAAAAATCACAATAACAAGTTTCTATCAAAATTAACGTCAAATATCAATCTCTCAATACAAATTATATATATATATATATATATAATTCAATTAAATCAAAAATTAACTATACAAATTGTTCAACACCAATCTAGAAAACTCAAGAAAATTGAAGCAAATCACAAATTATCCATAAATAACATGATTAATTGAAAGCTTCTTCATTTCAATTAAGTTTTTCAATCTCCACTCGATAACATCAAATTCATTCTACATAACTAGAAAGAAAAAATTAGACATGTCTCCACAAACATATATAAGATTAGTTGTTTAGAATATTAAATATGTCGAGAAAATTAATTATATGGGTGTGGGCGGGTACCCATGGGTCGGGTTTACCTAAACCCATACCCAACCCAACCCGTTGAATAGTGAACGGGTTTAAACCCAAACCCGGTCCAAAACTCGTCAACACGGATTTTACCCGTGTTGACCGGGTTTGGTCGGGTGGGTACCCGTGGGTTCGGATTTTATTGCCATCCCTAGTGTCTACGTAAGCAATCTCCAATTGGGGAATTCCCTTTTCCCTTCACCTCCCTGCACCTGCTACGAATTTTCGCCCTCACTTTTTGATCCCATTCTCGACCTCTGTTCCCGGGGACCATATCAGGTCAATAACTTATGGGTCAGTAACCCATATGTAACCCCTTCCCTTGTCCCCACGTGTCAGTCAATTTTTTTATTTAAATTAAATGCGAAAAGACAATAAGGTAAAATTGCACCTATCTCTCTATTTATTGCTAACGCTAACTTTTGACCGGACCACATCAGCGCCTCCTCTCTCCTCGAAAAACCTTAAATTTTCCTTCTCTTAATCTTTAACGGACGATTTCTCACTCGTTTTAAGTCGGTTTTTTTTTGCACAGTTAGATTAGATTAATTGTGCTCTTCAAAATGATATCCACTTTGATATTTTTTGGATATAAAAAAATTTGCCAGTTATTACCTGTCTATACCATATAGTATTGATTGCTATTAAATAAGACCATACTATATGGTATGAAAAAATTTGTCACATCAATATATATTACGTTACCACCCAATACCATATGGTATAGTGTGGGAATATCAATATATATTTCGTTACCACCCAATACCATATGGTATAGTGTGGTAATATCAATATATATATTTCGTTACCACCCAATACCATTTCGTTACCACCCAATATCATATATAGTGTGGTAATATCAATATATATATATATATATCGTTACCACCCAATACCTCGTTACCACCCAATACCATATGGTATAGTGTGGTAATATCAATATATATTTCGTTACCACATAATACCATATGGTATAGTGTAGTGATATCACACAATACCATATGGTATAGTGTAGTAATATCAATATATAATTCGTTACCACACAATACCATACATTACCATATGGTATAATGTGGTAATATCAATATATATTTCGTTACCACCGAATACCATATGGTATAGAGTTATAATATCAATATATATTATCTAAAAGGAAAAAAAACAGAAGGAGGTAGAGAAAAAAATCGTCTTTTGCCGCCTCTCATTTCCTTTTCCGCAATCAAGAACACCAAAATGCCGAAAAAATGAGAAAGATCGGATTGAGGCCAACGAGATGATGAAGAGAAGAAATACAATGAAAATGAGTGGCTGCAAATTTTATTCTTCCTGGAGAAAAATAAATAAAGAAGAAGAGAAGGGAACATATTTAGATCTCAAAAGGAGATTGAGAGAGAAAAAGGAAGAGAGAAGGCAGAGAGAAAGAGAGAGGATCTGGATGGGTATGACCCTCCTCGTTGAAGCGACACATCCTTCCTAGACTTAGAATATTTTTATACAATTTTGTGGCACGACATGACCTCATACAAGATGCCAATGACCCTCATTGAATCATGTTCAAGCTCACTATGACTTAGTGGTCGTTTGGTTTTGGTGATAGTTAAATTGATGCATTGTTATCAATGCATGCATAATAATATGCATGTATATAAGAAAATTGGTGTATTGTAGTTTACATAATTTGGTTTTTGTGATAGTTATTCAAGTATTGTAATAAGTTATATTGCACGTGCCTCTAGATTCTAGACGGACATGACTCTAGATTCTAGACGGACATGACTCTATTCATGAGGCGGCACATCCTTCCCAGGTGGAAATACTCAAATACTCCAAAAAAATAAAGTAAATAAATAAAACAAAAAAAAAGCAAAAATTGCATCTCCCCCTCAACGCATCTCCTTCTCGACAAACCCCTCCACTGACCCATCTCTCTCTCCGACGTTTAGTGCTCCTCCTTTTCTTCTTCCTCTTCTAGCGTATTCATCTTGTTCGTTTCCTCGACTTGTTGGTATCGGCGTTGCCGCTTCATCCACCCTTCTCCCTCTGTTCGTCATTCAGATCTGAGTGAAACAGATCGGAGAGAACGAGAGTGACTCGGCAGCGTCGATCGTCGAGACGTTGGCGTGAAAATCATAGGAAAAACACCTTTTCAACGCCATCATCAACATAAAGCACGAGGGATCCTTGTTGATGGAAACCCAACCACCGCCAAGGCTCGGCTGACTCCGACATTTATTTTCATATCCGGTCGTGGTCATAGAGGTGTGGGGTAGGGGTGGGCATTCGGTCGGTTCGGTTTCGACCGAACCAAAATTATGAATACCGGGTCCCCAAATTCTCCCAAACCTCAAACCGAATTATAATTCGGTTCGGTCGGTTTAAACAGAACTGTAATTCTGTTCGGTTTTTCACACAAAACCGAATTTGTGAAGCTATTTGTATTTTCTCACTTTTAAATTATTTTTCACAACTAATATAAACAATAAATATCAATTATATGCATCATCAATGATAAAACCAAACTTTTCAACACATAAGTCATAAAACATTTCAAATATTTAAGTCTAAAAACAACTACAGACATAAAAATCCACCATTTGGAGCTTGCAATTATACTATTTCGGTTTTTCGGTCGGAAATTTGAAAATTCGGTTCGGTTGAAAGAATCATGATTTCCAAACTATCCATATTTTCCTTCCAAATTTCGAATTCCGAATAGCATTAATTCGGTTTCGGTTCGGTTTTACCGAACCGTTTGCCCACCCCTAGTGTGGGGTCTGTATCTGCCTATCGTCTCCAGATCTGCCACTGCCTCTTCCAATCTCCTTCACCGAGGAATCCAGAGCTTGCCGAAAGATTGAGACCGTCCTAGTCCTCTAGGCCGCCGCTACCCTGTATCAGATCTGCATCAAAATTTGGACTTTTTCAATTTTTGCTTTCTTGCCCGATTGAATGTCGGATTCGAAACTGAAGGGTTTCTATGTTGTTTGAATTGGGCTGAATTGATCTTCGGAGGTGATGATGTTGCGGCCGTATCAGCGGTGGGGATGGGGAGTTGGAGAGGAAGAGGAAGAGACGAGAGAGAATGAGGTTGTGGAGAGCGACGACAGCTTTGACGATCGAGAAGGATAGGTCGGGGATACAGGAAGAGCGACGACCGTCAGTTTGGTAGAAGGGGTGAGAATCGAACAACTGGGATTAATGGTCAATTTCATGGATGAGAAGGGTTGTTGAAGAAGGTGTTTGAGGGGAATAAGCTTGACGGGATTTGTGGAGTTCATCTCCATTGATGAATTCAAAAGCTCTCATGTTCTTCTTCTCCTAATTGCACCATCGACGAACACAGAGAGATGGAAGGGTTCTGTGTGTTTGAGAAAGGACACAGAGGCTTTTGAGAAACTTGAAATTAGTGTTCTTATTTTTCTCAATTAATTTTTTTAAACCATTTTTTTAATTTAAAATATGACGTGGCATCTAAGTGAGCACTACATGTCTAGTTGGAGATGACGAGTTATCCAGGTGGCATCCACATCAGCGTAAAGTCTATATTACTAACGGAGTAACTAACGATGTTAAAGTTTTTAACGAAAATGGCTAAATTTGTCAAACAAGTTTCGAAAGTGTGGCTATATGTGTGTATTTTTCAAAATTTGGCTATTATTGTCACAAAGTGTAAAGTTATGGCTATCCAAGTGTATTTTGCCTTAAAATTTTAGTACCGGTTAACTACTGATTATGAGATTATCCGATAAATCTTGAACCTCTTACTAATCAGAATCGATGTCCGGTACAATTTTGACAACTCTTAAAAAAGCATATAAGCAAAACAAGGTGAAAGAAATGCTAATGCCTAAACACGGAGAAGCAGAACGATTTAAACCGGTTAGAAAAAATTGCCCTCTATCACCGCCATTCCTTAACAACCTGTAATTCCTAATCATCGAAAGATTAGGTGCTCTCTTCTATCATCATCCTACTTATACACAAAAGACGACGCGAATTTCTCCGACGACTCCTCTTCACCTCACTGCCAGTCGTAATTACGTAGGTACCTTCACGCCCTTCGAGTTCTCCCAAATCCCCCGCCCAATTCCCCGACAATGTCCAGTGACGGCGGCGCCTTCCCGCGATTCGACGTGACGGCGGACGCATCCGAACACTCTATTTGACCAAGCACCGGAACAAGGCGAATTGCCCTCCGAACATCTCCGCCGAGACGCACAAGCAGATTATGCGAGAATGGAGGATCCTGGAGAAGCACCTGTCAGACTCGATTTGGGTTCGGGTCTACGAGAACAGGATCGATCTCCTGACCGCAGCCATCGGCGGGAGCCAGGGGACGCCGTACCACGACGGCCTCTACTTCTTTGACATTCGATTCCCGCACGACTACCCTAATTCGCCGCCATGGGTCCGCTACAGGTCATTCGGGTTTCGGATGAACCCGAACCTGTACGCAAACGGGCGTGTCTGCATGAGCTTAATCAACACGTGGATCGGGAAAGGGACCGAGAAGAGGAATCCGGGCGATTCGACGATCCTCCAACTCCTGATCTCGATTAAGGGTCTCGTGCTGAACGAGAGGCCGTACTACAACGAGCCGATTTTGGGGTTTTTGCCCAGGATGTTATCCGGCGACAAAATGCCGAATGTGTACAGCGAGGATACCTTCGTTCTGAGCTGCAAGACGATGTTGCGCCTGCTGCGGAGGCCGCCCAAGGGATTCGAATCGCTTGTGAAGTCTCATTTAAGGAAAGGGGTTTTGAGATCTTGTCGGCGATGATGGCGTATCGTAGTGGGGAATGTAGAGTTGGCTGTTACGGGATTGGTGGTGGTGGGTCGTTAGTTCAGGGGCGGAAGGGTCAGCCGCCACAAAAGTTCAGGGCTGAGATTAAGTAGCTGGTGCCGCTGCTGGCGGCTGCGTTGCCGAGACAGGGGATTTTGTGGGGAATTTCATCGAGGAGTTGGCGGGTGAGAAGGTGGAAAGGGATCGAGGTTGTGCGTGTTTTTGCTTATGCTTCCTATTCTCTAGTTGATGATCAATTTCATTAACTATGTTTACTAGCTTAGTTTGGCCCTGCTGTAGCTTTTGCAGAAGCAGCTTCTAGCTAGAGCTTTTAGATAAATACTTAAAAAAAAAACAGTTTAGTGTTTGGCTATAAAACTATTAGAAGTGCTTTTTAATATGAGCGGTTGTGTAAAATGACTATAAAGGACTTATAATATAAAATATGAATAAAAATTCTAAACAATAAAAAGTAGTAAAAATGGATCTTGTTAGATTTCTTTTATATTAAATAATATGATTTCATAATTTATTTTATTTTTAAAATGATATAAATGAAGAAAATTTATATTTTCTGAAATAAAATTAAAATATGATAAAAATAATCTTGTATTTTCAAAACAGTTTTTCGCAGAAGCTCCAAATCGGAGCTTCTGCTTTTACGTTATACAAAAGCACTTTTCGGCTTTTCAAAAGCCGAGCTTTTAGAGGTATTTGGCCCAGCTTCAGCTTTTGAATTCGAAAAGAACCTCTAAAAGCCGGGCCAAACATAGGCAGTATTTGGTTAAGCCTACTCTCCAAGTATATTGATAATCGGCTTTAATATATCGGATTCTTGAACTTTATGTGACTATCCTATGATCTGTTTTAGCCGATTGGTGCTATTTTAGGGCTCGCTAACCCGGGAATGGTTGAAAAACCATTACTGCCTAGTGCCATGAGTTTGATATGTTACAGGTGGAGAAAACACGAAAAAGAAGCGAATGGACAAATAATTAATTTGACTCAAATCGCTTTGTCTTGGGGGAGAATTAATTTGGGTCGGGATCTTCTAACGGGCTGGCGGCGAAAACAATTGCTGGGCGGATTCTCTTTTGGGAATTAATTGGCCCAAGGAGAGAATTCTTTTTGGGGAGGAGGCGTGGGCGGACAGATGATTATTGGCAGGATTGGCGAAAGACAATTTTTTGGAAAGAAGACGGAACTGGAATTAATTGAGGAGGAGGTTTATTAATTGGCAGGATTGGCGAAAGACAATTTTTTGGAAAGAAGACGGGGGTGGGATACTATGCTAACCCCTTAAGGGGTAGTGATTTTCAACACCCCCTTTATGATTGGCCAATTTTATTTTCAATCATTGGCAAGTATTAATTAAACTGGTTTTTTATTTTTTTTAATCTTGTAATTTTGGGGTCTCTCACCCACATTGGAAAGGGAAAGAATATGGGGAATCAGAAAAAAGCTCCCCCCCAAATGTGCAATTAATTGCCTTTTTTTTCTTCCTTTCGTCTCCTTCTCTCTCCATTTGGGCCCTCTTTCCATTTTGATTTCATTTTAACCAGAACCCTCCTCTACTCTGAAACGACCAAAACCCTCCAGCGCCTTCCCCCACCACCATCCTCCTATCTCCAGCTGCCACCATCCTGAGATCGCCTCTGACCTACCTTGTGGATTGCTCGCACCAGTGGAGTGGTACGTGTACCAGTGGAGTGGTATTTGTATCATTGAAGTGGTACTGCATTGTTGCTCCGTTATTGTTTATCATTGTTATGAAAAATATCATTGCACTGGTATTGTTCTCACTCTAACCTACCTTGTGGATTGCTCGCACCAGTGGAGTGGTACGTGTACCAGTGGAGTGGTACGTGTAATTAATGTACCAGTGAGAGAAATTAATTATGTAATTAATGGGGCTGATTTCGTTTTTCCCCAGATTCTTTCTCTTTTCCAATGTGGTGAGAGACCCCAAATTACAAGATTAAAAAAAAATAAAAAACCAGTTTAATTAATACTTGCCAATGATTGGAAATAAAATTGGCCAATCATAAAGGGGGTGTCAAAAATCACTACCCCTTTAGGGGTAGTCAAGCTAACCGATCCCAAGAAGACGGAACTGGAATTAATTGAGGAGGAGGTTTATTAATTGGAACGGACACAGAATTGGACGGGGGAGCGGAATTCTCTAGGGGATTCTTTTTGGAAAAAGAAAGGGCCAGGGTTGAATTATTCTTGGGACACGGAAGCTGGGAACGGAGAAAAGGCAGCAGCGAGAGCAGCAATTCCTTATGTTTGGTCCGGCTTTTAGAAGTGTTTTTCGGTTTCAAAAGCTGAAACAGGACCAAACACCCGTAAAATCTCGGTTTTTGAAAAACCGAAAAGCGCTTTTGTATAACATAAAAGCAGAAGCTCCTCTTTGGAGCTTTTGCGAAAAGCTGTTTTGAAAATACTAGATTATCCTTACCATATTTTAATTTTATTTCAAAAAATATAATTTTTCTTCATTTATACCATTTTAAAAATAAAATCATATTATTTAATATAAAAGAAATCTAACAAGATCCATTTTTACTTTTTATTGTTTAGAATTTTTATTCATATTTTATATTATAAGTCCTATATAGTCATTTTACACAACCTCTAATATTAAAAAACACTTCTAATAGTTTTACAGCCAAACACTCAACTGCTTTTTTTGAAAAGTACTTATCTAAAAGCTCCAGCCAGAAGCTGCTTCTGCAAAAGCTACCGCAGGGCCAAACTAAGCTAATTGAAGCCCACCGGTAGCAGCGTCGATTGGATTGAAAATCAGAATTTGCTATTCATTTCGTATCATTATTTTCTCTCCTTCTCGTTATTAGTTTCATGATGATTAAGAACTGTTTACCCATAAAAATTAACCTTGTACCACATCGGTTAAAAACAAGGAATTAAATGGCTTTATAAGGCCAACTTAATCATATCAGTTTAAATCAGTTAAGTGGGTCATGAGGATTGGGTTTTTGGGCCCATGACTTCGTGCCACCACGCGCGCCATGCATATCCAAATTTGACTAAGTATGGGAGCCACCCCTATGACACGCAGAGGGGGTGGGCATCATACCACCACCCCCAGGACGTGGCAAAGGGGTGGACATCATACCGCCACCCCATGACATGGTGATGGGGGTGGCCACCATCATACCACCCCCATGACGTGGCAAGAGGGGTGGCCACCATCACACCACCCCCCAGGACGTGGCAAGGAAGGTACCAAAGGGGGGTGACCACCATCACACCACCCCAGGACGTGGCAAGGGGGTTGGGCATCATACCGCCACCCCCAGGGGGTACTAGGGGGGACGTACCGAGGGGGACGAGAAGATGTAAAATGTGGCTAAGTATGGAAGATGATGAGTGTGGCAAGGAGGACCCCCATGAGGTGGTCTGGGGACCACCAACATACCACCCCCATGGTATGATCAAGGGGTGGGGTGTCACCAACGACGGCTCCCATGAGAATGATATGGTGGCGGCGGTGATCCATGTGACCCCCATGAAGGATGCTCCGATGGTATGGTGAGGGGGTCGTCACCAATGTGAGCACGTGGTCTCTTTACTCTACTAATGGTGAAATACTTTTTGCCATGGTAACTCATGTTATTCGAATACCCATCCATATGTGGTAAGTGGTATTCCTTTATGCCTTAGCCATTTTTACTCTATGGATAAGCAAAACTACGAAGGAGATGCCAAGAGCAGAGGTTGAGGTCTCAAGAGGAGGGAGTCAAGACTGAAGAGGATGCCACATCCAACATCAGGGTAACCGTCATAGCAGTTGAGAGGATAACCGTCGCTCCACGTCAGCAGAGCAGTTTCTTGGGGCAGTGACTTCTGGTGGCTATAAATAGGAGGTGAAGATGACAGAGAAAAGGTTCGCAAAAATCACAACTCGACACCACTTGTCAAGTTTTATCTTTTTATCTTTTCCTCTGCAGATTTTAGCCATAGTCGTAGTTTTTGGAGCTCTCACTGAACCTCCATAGGAGTAGGGCTAATTTAATGTAGATTTGCCTTGTAGTTCATCAAAACATTGAACACCCTTGTTTGAACTTTGTTCAAAGAGGTGTGAACTGTGTTGTTTGATCGTTTGTTTGGAAGTCAAATGTGCAAAATCCAATTCTGTTCATCTAGTTTTTCTCGCCGGGAAAACAAATTTGCACACCTGGTGGGACCCGTGTGTTCGATTTGATGGCTCCGAGGTGGAGGAATCAGGAAGGTGACGCTCCGGCTGGTTTTGTGGAGGAGCAAGTGGCCAACATTGAACATGGCCAAGTGTCAGAGGCGGTGGCCGGAAACAATGGTGGGGCGGAGATCCTACCAACGGCGACGCCTAGTGGAGATATTGGTGAAGCAATGGGGGTCCTTCGTCAAATGATGGAGGAGAACCGCAAGCTGGTGGCAGAGAACAGTCAAGCCACAGAGGAGAACCGCCAAATGATGGTGGAGAACCGTCGCATGATGGAGGAGGCTAGAGCTGCTTCTCATCAGGTAAATTCTCAAATGGACTGTCTTAATTCTAGAGTTGATAGACGTCTAAGTCAATTATTTGAAGTGGTTAATAAGAATAAAAGTGATTTTGATGAGTTCAGAAGGTTTTTAACCACACCAATAATCCAATCTAGAGCTCTGCCATTAGATGGCGGGAATCCAAATCCCATTAACAATGCTGTAAATTCTAGTTCATCTCCCGTCGGCGGCAGAAATGGTCAGCCATGGCAAGATAACCTCTTTCCGCCGATGACAAACCAACCAACTCCTCACCGCATGAATCGCGGCGAGATTCCTGCCACTTCTCAAGTGGAAGGGATACCCAATGTGGGAGTTGGAGAAATTCCCCCACGTGGTGAGAATTTGGGAGTTACACATTCTGCTCCAGCGGAACCGCCACCCATACCCATACCAGTGGCAAGGCCCTATACGGTGCCTGCTCACATGGGAGGGGGAGTAGGTTTAGGTGGGGGAGATCAAGTTCCTCTCAGAGCATACCCAACACCCATGCCACCCCATTTCAATGGGCATGGCATGGACCCCATGGGTTTCATACCCCAAGGGGGGAAACCAGGGGGGCATGATCCCAACACTCTAAGGGATCAGGTGGCTCAACTTCTTGCCGAGCAATTTGGCATGGGAGTGAGACCCACCATGCCACCTGTTTATCGAAAACCATACCCTGAGTGGGTGGATAGACTCTACCCATTCCCAAGGGGGTTTAGAGTGCCTGAGTTTGCCACATTCACTGGGACAGGGGACCAGTCTACTGTGGAGCACATTGGACGTTTTACTGTCCAGTGTGGGGATGTAGGAGATTTTATTAAGTTAAGAGTATTTGGAAACTCATTAACAGGACCTGCCTTTGCCTGGTATGTCAACTTGCCATCGAACTCCATCCAAACATGGCAGCAGATGGAGCAAATCTTCCATGCTCAGTTCTATAGATCTGAGCGTGAGGTTTCCATGGCTGATTTGGCGCGCATGCGCCAAGATCCAGGGGAGTCGGTGGAACATTTCTTGACAAACTTCAAGAATGCTCGTAACCGTTGTTTTGTCAACTTGACAGAGGGAGAGTTTGTCAAGTTAGCACAAGGGGGTTTGAGTTTTGAGTTAAGGAAGAAATTCCAAGATAGAGAATTCTCTGACTTGTTCCAACTCATGTCTTGTGCGGTGAGATATGAATCTCTTCTTCAAGAAGAGGAGAATAGGAGGAGTGCCTCAAGGGGGCAATACTTCCCCAACCTCGGCTACCCTATTAACCATATTGGCCAAGAGGCCAATGAGGTAGAGGTAGACCTGGCTGAGTTAACTCCAGGGAAGCCATATGTATGTGCTCCTTTGGCTAAGATGGACAATGAACCCCAAGGGGGTAGACCAAATCGTGCCCCTATCCAGCCACGGAGGTATTCCTTCGATATCTCCAAAGCTGACTTGATTTTTGACCAACTCTACAAGGATGGTCAAATCAAGTTGACAGGGGGGGCATAACATCCCACCACCCGAAAAATTAAAAGGAAAGAAGTATTGTAAGTGGCATAACAACATGTCACATGCCACTGACTCATGTGTGGTTTTTTGCAATATATTGCAGGATGCCATTGAGAAGGTTCGCATCAAACTCCCTGAGCCAAAGAAAGATGCCATACTGGTGGATACCAACCCATTTCCGAACTTGCTTGGTGTCAACATGGTTAACCCAGACTTCTCAAAAATTGAGCTCCCCCGTTTCAAGCTGGTGTTGGATACAACACCGCAACAAGGGACCCCCACCATGGTGTTCGAGCAGGGAGAGTCATCGAAGGGTACGATGGCCAACTCGGCCGCTTCTAAGGTGTCAAGTGAGGTGGAGAAGCTTTGTGCCCAATGCAAAAGGAGTTCTAGACTTGATGAGGTGAGACCGAATCGACCAGTCCAACAAAGAATTGGTCCACCCCATAGGCCGAGATACCCATCCTATCAAAGACAAGTAGAGGGGGTCATTCAACCGACATGGGGGCAAAGAAGGCAATGGGTGGCACATGGCCCTCTTCCCATGAGAAGGACTTCTAAGATGCCCAATGTGCCACAAGGAGGGGGCATACTTATGATATGCATAGTCAACCAGTAGCTATTGGGGGGATGATAAAGACTCAAAGGAGGAGATTCCTACGTAAAAATGTCAAAGCACGAAAGGGGCAACACCCAGTAGTACCTGGTGAGATGGTGAGACCAACACAACAAAATGAGGATGGTCATGCTAGTATTGAGGTGGACAACTCTATGACCACGGGTTCCAAAGTGATAGTGTCTGACCAGGGCAAGCATGCCCAAGTCCAAAGTGATGGTAATGGCCAGAAGGAAAAAAATGGTGTAGGGGGTGATTCAAAGTCAGCTTGTGAAGAATCATCTCCTTTGAACAACCATGGCCATATGGTGTATGGTTGGCTTGTTTGGTTTAATACATGGACTTGGCAGTGGATGTATACCTTTGGCACTTTGGTTATTGCCAAAGGGTATGGAGATCAATGATGCTTGTAACTCCTTATTATATACAATAATAAAGTAAAAAAAATATTAATTAATATAGAAAAGCCAATCATGGCTATATATATATTTAAAATCCCAAAGTGGCAAGTTTCAGAAGAAGTTAGTAGGTTTTGATGTGAGAATCTTGCCACGACTGGTAAGCCTCAATCATTTACTCGTATTGTCAGGCCATTAAGGTGGCCTAACCATGCCAAACTTTAAAATTTTGTAAGGTGTGAACTATATAGCCCATGACAAGACATGGAGGTGATGGTGAATGGCATGGGGTATGATTAGCAGTAGTTTGGATTAACTAGGTGGGCATGAGGTGTTGGTGGTCACAAAGGCATGGGGGGCACGGTTGTGTCAAGATGGAAGGACTATGGAATAATTATGTTTGACTCGCTTCACTCCTCCCACACGGCAGCAAAGGAGAAGAAATTAGGATTGTTTTCGTCATTTAAATTGTATGGCCAACTATTTAAGTTTGATGGCATAGTCGGTGTGAAACTACTTAGTCCATAATTCTTATGCACTAAGTAGTTGGGGGACATTTGTTTTCCCATAAAAATTAACGTTGTACCACATCGGTTAAAAACAAGGAATTAAATGGCTTTATAAGGCCAACTTAATCATATCAGTTTAAATCAGTTGAGTGGGCCATGAGGATTGGGTTTTTGGGCCCATGACTCCGTGCCACCACGCTCGCCATGCATATCCAAATTTGACTAAGTATGGGAGCCACCCCCATGACATGCAGAGGGGGTGGGCATCATACCACTACCCCCAGGACGTGGCAAAGGGGTGGACATCATACCACCACCCTCAGGAGGTACTAAGGGGGGGGGGGGGGGGTGTCCACCATCATACCACCCCCAGGACGTGGCAAGGGGGTGGGCATCATACCGCCACCCCCAGGAGGTACTAGGAGGGGTGGCCACCATCACACCACCCCCAGGACGTGGCAAGGGGGTGGGCATCATACCACCACCCTCATGACATGGTGATGGGGGTGGCCACCATCACACCACCCTCCAGGATGTGGCAAGGGAGGTACCAAAGGGGGGTGGCCACCATTACACCACCCCAGGACGTGGCAAGGGGGGTGGGCATCATACCGCCACCCCAAGGGGATACTAGGGGGGACGTACCGAGCGGGACGAGAAGAGGTAAAATGTGGCTAAGGATGGAAGATGATGAGTGTGGCAAGGAGGAGCCCCATGAGGTGGTCTGGGGACCACCAACATACCACCCCCATGGTATGATCAGGGGGTGGGGTGTCACCAACGCCGGCTCCCATGAGAATTATATGGTGGCGGCGGTGATCCATGTGACCCCCATGAAGGATGCTCCGATGGTATGGTGAGGGGGTCGTCACCAATGTGAGCACGTGGTCTCTTTACTCTACTAATGGTGAAATACTTTTTGCCATGGTAACTCATGTTATTCGAATACCCATCCATATGTGGTAAGTGGTATTCCTTTATGCCTTAGCCATTTTTACTCTATGGATAAGCAAAACTACGAAGGAGATGCCAAGAGCAGAGGTTGAGGTCTCAAGAGGAGGGAGTCAAGACTGAAGAGGATGCCACATCCAACATCAGGGTAACCGTCATAGCAGTTGAGAGGGTAACCGTCGTTCCACGTCAGCAGAGCAGTTTCTTGGGGCAGTGACTTCTGGTGGCTATAAATAGGAGGTGAAGATGACAGAGAAAAGGTTCGCAAAAATCACAACTCGACACCACTTGTCAAGTTTTATCTTTTTATCTTTTCCTCTGCAGATTTTAGCCATAGTCGTAGTTTTTGGAGCTCTCACTGAACCTCCATAGGTGTAGGGCTAATTTAATGTAGATTTGCCTCGTAGTTCATCAAAACATTGAACACCCTTGTTTGAACGTTGTTCAAAGAGGTGTGAACTGTGTTGTTTGATCGTTTGTTTGGAAGTCAAAGGTGCAAAATCCAATTCTGTTCATCTAGTTTTTCTCGCCGGGAAAACAAGAACATGATTATATTTTTTGATTTCGTCATGAACTAAACCCCGATTTCTGGGGGAAACACCATAGGATGTAGCTATTTCTATGTTTGATGGATTGATTCATATATCTTTTCTTCCAATCTCTATTGCATGGAATTGCTTAATGCTTTGTGTTGACTGACCACCAATACAATGATTTGCTATTAATTAGGTTATTAGCGACAGTGAAACCCTAATAACTAAACCTATTTCATGTGACATAGTAACTTATCGAAGCGACAGTGGATTAAATAAGGTACTATGCGGTCTTGATTATGATATCGGTCTTCAGGCTAAATAATTAAGTCATTGAGCTACGACAGCAGGATTTGATTTAATTGTTTAGTACGTAGTAATTCCCGTCAGGGATAGCTAGCACATTCGTGATATCCTGGCTGTAGAGATATGGATTAAATTGATTGGAATATGTGAATTAATTTGGATAAGATAGGTAGCGAGTCCTGGTGTTTCTCCCAGAGCTTTCTCCCATTGATTTAAACCCGACACTTTAATTTGCTTGTTTTGTTTAATTACTTTGCTATTAGATCATAGTTTCATCTCATTAAACATTTTCACATATAGTTTGCTTAATAAAATTGATAGAACTTAAGGTTGTACCAGTCCCTGAGAGGCGGTACCCGGACTTTCCGGTTTTACTACGAGATAGGATTGAGGCATTACGCTTTTGCCCTATCATATATTGTTCTCATGTTTAAAGGTTACACTTTAAATCCTTGTTTTATGTTTATTGTCATTTGATTGTCTATTTTTTTTAATATATGTACTAGCAAAAGCCCGCACGTTATCGCTTCCTGTATTAGAAGAAAAAATAGTTTAAAGAGTAATAGTTTTAATGTTGACCCAAAAGTGAAATTAATCTTATTTCATTCTTAATCATTATATTAATAGGTTTTTTAATTTACAATAGTATATGATCGATGAACTTGCATAAGGTAGCGAGGTCGTCGAATAGATTATTTATATTTAAACTTCTTTCATGACACTTCAATTTCTATGGCTAGTAATTGATTCTGCTGTAACTTTTGCAGAATGAAGCAGTTTCTCTAGATCTTTTCAATAAGTATTTAAAAAAACTGTTGAGTGTTTATCTTAAAAAATATCAGAATTACTTTCTAATATAAGAGGTAATGGAAAATGACTAAAAAGATTTCTAACATAAAATATGAATACAAATCTAAAAATAAAAAAGTATTTAAAATGAATCGCGTTAGATTTATTTCATATTAAATAATACTATTTTTCAATTTTTTTATAATGATATAAATGAAAATTTTATGTTTTCTAGAAAAAGAATAATATATGGTAAGTACAATTTTGTATTTTTAAATCGAAGTTTCTATGCTATTGGCTCAGTTTGGCCCTGCTGTAGCTTTTGGAGAAGCAACTTCTGGCTTGAGCTTTTAGAGAAGTATTTTTCAAAAAAAGTAGTTGAGTGTTTGGCTGAAAAAACTATTAGAAGTGCTTTTTAATATGAGAGGTTGTGTAAAATGACTATAAAGGACTTATAATATAAACTATAAATAATAATTATAAACAATAAAATGTATTCAAAATGGATCTTGTTAGAATTCTTTTATATTAAATAATATAATTTTATAATTTATTTTATTTTTAAAATGATATAAATGTCATAAAATTAAAATATGGTAAGGATAATTTTGTATTTTCAAAACATCTTTTAGCAGAAGGTCCAAATCGGAGCTTTTGCTTTTATGTTATACAAAAGCGCAGCCGAACTTTTAGAGGTGTTTGGCCATGCTTCAGCTTTTGAAACTGAAAAGCACTTCTAAAAGCCGGGCCAAACTTAGGCATTAAGTTACGAAAAACTTCAGTTTTATTAAAAGCGATACTTTAGAGGTGTTTGGCTTGGTTTCAACTTTTGAAACATAAAACTTATAAAATTCGGGCCAAACATAGTCTACTCTTTTGGTTTTTTTGTTTGTTTGAGGTAGTCGTGGTTCTCTTTTATGAAAATTTTGGACTGATTGCAAGTTTGAGGAGGTTCAATTCGCATTGATCGGGTCAAATTAGGTCAGATACCCATGTATTTAGGTTCAGTTGTCTTACTTAAACAAAAGGAAAAAGCGAAATGAAAAACACTAAAGCTAAAACTCGCTACCGACTCAAAACTCGTCAACACAAAGTTCAACTCGCTTAGACCTGGTTGGACCGAGTTTTGGACAAATTCACACCTGACACAATACGCCAATTACAAAAACAGATAAAACTCGCTCCCGCGAAAACTTGTAAAATCGGGTTCAAGTGGCTTTGGTCGAGTTGAATTAGATTGTAGACCCATGCGTTTGGACTCAATTGTCATTCTCAACCAAAAGGAAAAAGATAAATTTTTTTTAAGTGGACAAAACTCGCTCATGACCACAAACTCTCAACACTGCGTTCAACTCGCTTTGACCGGGTCGACCTAGTTTTAACAAATTCACAATTTATCCAACCGGTCAATTACAAAATCAGATAAAACTCGCTCTCGATACGAAACACGTCAACAGTGGGTCATAATTCAATTGTCATTCTCAACGAAAAGGAAAATGAGAAATAAAAAAACATTAAAGCGTACAAAACTTGATTTCGATCTAAAACTGGTCAACAATGTGTTCAACTCGCTTTTAACAATTTTTTAACAAATTAACACTTAGTCCAACCTGCCAACTACAAAAGCGGATAAAGCCTACTCACAATATAACACTCGTCAAAATCTTAGATTCGGGTTCAATTGTCTTCCCAATCAAAAGCAGAAGAAAAGAGATATTTATAAATGCTAAAGTCTGTTTCAAATTGCTTTGACCGGATCGAATTAGGTTGGATACCCCTGGCAATACGAGCACCCTTGTTCTTGTTTGAGCCAAAGTACGCAGCTCAAACCAACTTTAACAAACTTAATACGAAACGGACCAAAGGTGCAACTTCGCACTTGGGAAGAGGCTCGGTTGGTTTAGGTCGAAGATCGGCCAAGATTGAGGTGATTTTCAATCAATAGGAAGCAGCTCTCGTCGCTGGAACACACCTACACGCAAGGATTTCGGTGACAAGGTCACGTTTCATTCAAAAACAATAGCCACCTCTTACACAAGGCTTCAAGCCCTTTAAATAGACAACCATGATCCTAATTCGACTTCTAAACTAACTAGGAACCAGATCTGACTCTTAAACAAATAAGGAAACAAGAATCCAAACTTTAAAGGGAAATACAATTCGGTTGCTTCAACCGCAAGATTCTGCCTTCCAGCGTAAGCAACCCATTCTAGGCTTTCTAGCCATTTTGAGGCTCTTGATCGAGGCCTTCCAGAGGGATTCGACCCAAACAGGATTCAGTCGTTTCTTCTCCAGGATCGAACTTAAAGTTCCAGCTCCCTTCTTCCATCGACAATGCTCCATCTGCTTTGAATAAGCTTCCATAGGCGGCAACTCAAACTGATCCCAGACTTGGCCAAAATTAGGCAGATTTCTAGTTTCAACATAGCAGTTGAGGCATCGAGAAAGTGGCTTCAAAGGCTCGTTCTTTTTCAACCAGGACTTCAATCATGGAGAAAAGCACTTGAAATTCAAATCCGAACCCTTCCCTTATATTTCCACCAACCTAGATGTAAGATATAAACCTGCAAAGTAAGCACCATGAAACAATATGAACACTTAGCCAAATTCTTCCATTTTTCCTTCCAACGTGGATTGATCTTTTGGCAAGCATTTGATTCATGTTTAAGGGATAATTTAGTATCATATCAGGCCCCCTTCTTTAAAAAGCTTTGCCCTCAAAACTGACTCACCCCTGCATCCAAAAACACCATTAAACTCCACCCAAAAAGGATCGCAAATGCAGCCCTCTGTGGGCCGGAAAGTTGAACTCTAACAAACTCCCCAAATCGGCGAGTTGGCGAATCTCGTTGTTCCACAACACTTGATTGCTTGAATCGTGTTCGCCAACCATCCAGGATCCTCCTCCATTCAACCCCATTGCGTGAATTCGTCGTTTGTATTTTTCCCGCCGTCGGAAAATTTAAATTTCCCAGAATCCGGCGATGTGAGCCCAGAATCTGGCGACGCGAAATCAAAATTTGGGAAATCCATCTCAGACATGCTCGAGCCGATTTCTTTTTTTCTACACAATCCTCAAGATTCCAGAAAGCGAACCCAAGTGTCCAATTGCATCGATTTGACACCAATCTCCAGAACCCATGCAGTGTTCTTTCGGTCGACACCTTGCATATTTCGGCCCTAATTGGTCGAATTGGGCGTTTGAATTCAAGACTCCTCATCCCAATTCAAGACTCCTCGTTCCAATTGGTCGAATTTGTCGAATTTTCCTCTAAAACTGCTCGTGTCTTTCTTGGCTGTAATGATGTTTCTAAGGGTTATCACTGCTATGATCCAGCTCTTTGTCGCATTCGTAGAGCCTGCAACGTGGTTTTTATAAAAAAATCTTATGTTCTACTCTTCATCTTCTACCACCACTCCTTTGTTTGATACCTCTTTGGATCTTCCATCCTTTTCTGACACTGATGATGATATTGATGATGGCTTCAACCAGCTGCCCCATGCGACCCCGCCACCTCCCTTTGCTGTCACCACCGCCGTCTCTGCCATCGCCTTTGCCACCACCACCAGTTCGTCGCTTGATGCGCTCCAACCATGGGGAACCTCCTCCTCGTCATAATGATTTTGTTTCTTATGGTGTTGATGCTCTTGCAGTTCCTACTCGATACTCCCAGGCTAAGGATGATCTGAACTAGAAAAGAGCTATGATAGAGGAGATTGCTGCTTTTCTTGCTAATCAGACCCGGGTTGTTGTTTCTCGTCCTCCTGATCGCCCGGTTGTTGGGTCTCGCTAGGTGTATGCCCTCAAGTTTCTTCATGATGGCACTTTGAAGCGGCACAAGGCACATGTTATTACTCAGGGATTCAGCTAGGAGTTTGGTGTTGATTTTGATGAGACATTTGCCTCGATGGCGAAATTTTTTTCTGTTCAAACTCTCCTTGCTCTGGCCGCTGTTCGTTGTTGGCCTCTGTATCACTTGGACGTCAATAACACTTTTCTTCATGGCGATCTAAAGGAGACAATGTATATGGAGCTTCCTCCTGGCTACTCTCCGCCCATTGATATTCTGGATCATGTATGTCTCCTTAAGCGTTCCCTGTATGGCTCAAGCAGGCTCCGCGGACGTGGCTTGATAAGTTCCAGTCTACCATTTTGGGTCTTGGTTTTCATCAAAGCCAGAACGACCATTCCCCCTTTACACGCCGCTCTGCTTGTCCTTCTTCTCTATGTTGATGATATGGTGGTTACTGGTGATGATGAGGTTGGGATTAAGGCACTTACTCAGGGTCTACATGAGTCGTTTACTTTGAAGGAACTTGGGCCTCTCTCTTACTTTCTGGGCTTAGAGGTGGAGCGCTCACCAGAGGGCATTTTACTTCGTTAGAAGAAGTACATCACTGATCTTCTTGAGACGACTAAGTTTTCATATTGTTCTCCTCTTTCGACTCCCATGGAGTTGAATGTGAAATTGGGGATGGAGATAGGTGAACTATTAGCTGATGGTGGAAAGCAGTATCGGAGTATTGTTGGCAGTCTTATCTATCTTACATCGACTCGTCCTGATATTGCCTATGTTGTTCAGATTGTCGCCCAAGACGGATCATCTAGCAACTGTTCATCGTCTTCTTCGGTATCTTCAGGGTACTCGCGGAGTAGGTTTGTTCCTTCCAGTGACAAGGTCACTTGTTCTCCAGGCCTTGTCTTACAGTGATTATGCAGGATGTATTGATACAAGTCGTTCCATGACAGGTTGGTGTATTCGTCTTGGTGGTTCTTTCATCTCTTGGAAATGCAAGAAACATGATCGGGTATCCAAGTCCTCCACCGAAGCAGAGTACAGAGCTATGTCTGATGTGGTCTCTGAACTTGAGTGGCTTCAGCGGTTACTTGATGATTTTGGAGTGACTTGTGAGATTCCTATGGAGCTTTTTGTTGATAACACTAGTGCTATCCGCATTGCTATGAATCCTGTTATGCATGATCGTACAAATCACATTGAAGTTCATGTGCACTATATTCGTGACTTGGTTCGAGATTGTGTTATACGCATCTTTCATGTTAAGTCAGAGGATCAGATCGCAAACCTGCTAACTAAGGCTTTCACTGCCAGTCGTCATTTCTATCTCGCTGGCAAATTGATGATGCGAGACCTCCATTAATTTGGGGGAGGCTGTTAAGTTACTGATTGTATGGTTTCATATGGGCTTTAGTCCATTTTAGCATTGTGTAATTATAGGCCTAGTTACGTAGACCTCTTCCTTGGCCGATTCCCTTCTCCATCTCAGCTAGGGTTCGACATTGAGTTTAAAAAAGTTAGTGGTTCATAGTTCAATTATTAGAATACATAAAAATAGTATAGTAATTTGTTTTAGACAAAAAAGGCAAAGAAATAAATAAAGAAAGGGTTATGGAAGGCGAGTGAATAATAAAACGAAAAGGAAGTAGATGATGGAAAGGTTTTGACCAATTCTTTTAGTTGGCCGTCAATAAAACTATCAACTCTTTTCACCGTAGCAATTTATCGACACTTGCTTATGTAGATGTCGCGTATTTTGTTACATGTAGTTAGTAGAAGTTTGTTTAGTACACCGTAAATGTATTAAATGAGTTTATAAATTCGCTCTTGCAATATTTTAGAGTCGTATCTCTTTTATCATTTATTTAATGTTTCACATAAAAAGAAAATATAAAATGATCGAATCTTCTCCTACAGTTGAGTGATACAACATCTTGTATTGTACAAACTAAATTTATACTTTTATGTTATGGTGGATTGGATTCATTGATTTGTTCAAAAGGATTGGTGAAGTGGATTCATGGATTCAAGTGAAATGTAAACATTGGACCAATATGTAAATTAAAAAAATTGTAGATACGAAAATCTCATAAAATTTAGATACCAAAACATAATTGTTCAATAATTTTATATTAAAATTAAATTTGAGGTATTCAAATATATATTTATTATTATTATTATCATTATTATTATTATCAGAATTAAAGTAATATATCCTGTTGGTCCGGTTGAAAAAGTAAGTTGAGGGTTAATGGTTCGATTGGTTTAGCCCGGATATATAAAAAAGTTTATATTTTTATAAATTTATAAATTATATTATATCTCATATAACATCTGAGTAAGAACATATAACATTATATCAAAATAACAGGTCGTACTTGGATCGAACATATAGTGAAAGTTCACACACACTTATATAACAAAAATATTTAACTTAAAATTCCAAAGATAGGATTAGAGGAGGAGGAAAACCGAAAAAGAATCGCATTTCACAAACCAAAAAGTAAAACAGTGTCGTGTAACCTCGAATCCGATAACCTTCCAGTTGGTCCACCCGTGGGTATATGTGACTCGTTATTCTCATCGATCAGAGTCGGTCAATCGACAGGTTGACACATAGTGGCGGATTCAGAGCTGGGCCACACTGGGCCCTGCGACGATAATATGTAGGTGATTTTGTGCGCGGGAAGATAGCGGCGGAGTGTCGGAGTCTCGATGCCATCGTTTCGAACATTTCCCAGGAGATTCTAGATTCTCATGTGTAAACGTATGCCCCGCCGGGCTCCGGGGTGAATCGGCAAGAGAGGGTTCGCGTCGGCCAGTGGAGGCGGCACAAGGAATGACGAACAATGCAACGAAGGCGGAGGCGCGCAAGGAAATCTTGTGGCAATCATTTGAACCACGGGATGCCAAGGAGCTGGACCACCGTATCTCTGCCACCGTCGTTCTAATTGAATTAGAACGGTCGAGGCTCTTCCTCCACCTGGAGGAGGAATCGAAATAAGAATCTCTAGTCTGAATCGACCCACCGGGAATCACTGTTGATAAGAACTTTGTAAGAGTAGAGAGAAAGTAGGTTTTGTGAAGGCAGACCCTTAAGGGAGAAGGGGCTGCTGTTCTCTGTTTTTATATAACGGCATAATCAAGTTTAAAGCCACTAAACAAACTTAGCCACGTGTCACAGAAACACTGGCAATTACAAAACCGAAATTACTGTTGATTAACGGCTAGCACAACTAAACCACACGACTGCGTTTTGTCTAATGCTGAAGCCTTTCCATTAAAACGTCACCGTCTTCCCTTCACTTCATTCTCGGGCTTCATCTTCTCAATCCTTTCTTCCCAAGGATTCAGCAACAGGATGTTGACACCCCCCTTCAAGTTGTGGATGCCATTTTGATTCCCAACTTGACAAGCAACTCCTTCAGTCGTGTGCTGTCCAAAGCCTTGGTAAACAGATCTGCAAGTTGATTCAAAGTTCCAACATGATGCAGCTTTATCAAACCAGATTTGATCCTTTCCCTTGTCACATGCATATCTATTTCTATATGTTTGGTTCTCTCATGGAACACTGGATTCTCAGCAATATGTATTGCTGAACGATTATCACAGAATATAGATATAGGCAGTGGAACCTGCACACTCAATTCAGCTAGGAGTGTTCTCACCCATTGCACCTCACATACCAATAGAGCCAAAGCTCTATATTCAGCTTCTGATGATGATCTTGAGACAGTTGTCTGCTTCTTTGTCTTCCAAGTCAGTAATGAACTTCCTAGGAAAGTGCAGTAACCTGTAGTTGATCTCCTGGTATCAGGACAACTCGCCCAATCCGAATCACAATAGCCTGTCAACTTAAGTTCTGCTTGACTACTGAAATGTATTCCCTGTCCAGGTGAATTCTTCAGATACCTTAAAACTTTGTAGGCTGCTTGTAGATGTTCTGTGTGGGGATCTTTCTGGAATTGGCACAATTGCTGCACTGCATAGGTTAGATCAGGCCTGGTGATGGTTATATAATGCAACCTCCCAATCAGCCTTCTATATGATTCAGGATCATTCATTCTTGTTCCTTGTTCTGCTGTCAATTTGGTTTTGGTATCTGCTGGTATCACAGTTCCCTTAGCTTCCAGGTATCCTGTTTCTTCCAATAGATCCAAGCAGTATTTCCTCTGACAAACAGATAACCCTTCATCATTCCTTGTCACCTCCAATCCCAAGAAATACTTCAAAGGACCTAAGAGCTTGATCTTAAACTCCTTACTTAAAGCCTTTTTGACCTGCTCAATATCCTTAGGTGCATCTCCAGCCACTATTATGTCATCTACATACACTAGCACTACTACATTCCTTCCTCGAATCCACTTGGTAAACATAGAGTAGTCTGAACTTGACTGTGAAAAACCACTCCTGAGTAGGAAGTTGGTTAACTTAGCAAACCATTGCCTAGAGGCTTGTTTCAAGCCATACAAGGACTTTTTCAAACGACAAGCTACCTGTCCTGAACAAGATGGTGGAAGTTCAACTCCCAATGGTACTTTCATGTACACTTCTTCAGTCAAATCACCTTGCAAGAAGGCATTTGAAACATCCATCTGTTCAAGACTCCAGTTCTTCACTGCTGCCACTGCCAATAAAGCTTTAACAGTGTTTATCTTTGCCACAGGGGAGTAGGTGTCCAAGAAGTCTATGCCATAGACCTGTGTAAAGCCTTTTGCCACCAATCTGGCTTTATATCTTTCTATGGTTCCATCAGGTCTCAATTTTACTTTGAACACCCACTTATACCCAATTGCTCTTTTGTTTTGTGGCAGTGGAACAACATCCCATGTCTGGTTTTCTTCCAGTGCTGCCAACTCCTCATCAATTGCTCTTTTCCATTCAACATGCTTTACTGCTTCTTCATAGCTGATTGGTTCCATCTGTGTGATTACACTCAAAGCATATTTCTATCTTCTATGCTAAGATGGTCTACTTCCAAGCATATAGGATACTTGGTGGCTGCTGCAGCTGTGCCAAATGCACCAAACTTCAGTCTTGTGTCTAATTCACAGTCTTGCAACTTGGCAGGAAGTTTGTGAGTGCGAGAAGGTCTGGCTGATGGATCAAAATCAGTTTGAGGTTCCAATTCAGAATCATGTTCAACATAAACTGGTGATCCAGGATCCTGAGGTGAAGAAGAAGAAGAAGGTTGAATGTGAGAAGCAGACTGAGGTGAGGTTACCCCCCCCCCCCCATCAGCAGAAGGTGAGTGAGGTGAAGGATGGGAAATAGGGATTTGGATAGGTGGAGCAGAAGAAGAAGGAGAAGAAGAAGAAGAGGGTATAGCAAGTGAGGGCTCAAAGGCTGGGATCATGTTTCTGAAAGGCAAAATGGACTCATGGAATACTACATCTCTGGAAACAAAAACACGATGGTCATCCAGAGATAATAGTTTATAACCTTTGATGCCCTGAGGAAAGCCTAATAGCACACATTGCTTGGCCCTTGCTGCAAATTTAGTTCTGCCATGAGTAAGAGTGCTTGCATAGCAGAGGCTCCCAAAAACTCTTAAGTGGCCAAGGAAAGGAGGTTTGTTGTATAGCATTTCATAGGGAGATTTGTTGTGTAAAACTGGTGTAGGGAGTCTGTTGATAAGGTAAACTGAGTGAAGAACACAATCACTCCAGTAATGTAGGGGTAGGCCAGACTGAAACCTTAAAGAACGAGCCACATTTAAAATGTGTTGATGCTTCCTTTCTACCCTAGCATTCTGCTCAGGGGTCTCAACACAAGACATTTGATGTTCAATGCCATGTTCCAAGTAAAAATCACACATGTTGAACTCTTTCCCTTGATCACTACGAACTGTTTTCACTAATTTCCCAAACTGATTATGTACCAAATGACAGAAGCCTTTTAAGAGTTCCCTGGTTTCACTTTTGTGTTTCATTAAAAACACCCATACTGCTCGAGAATAATCATCAACCACAGTAAGAAAGTAAGCAAATCCATCATAGGAATGAACAGAAAGTGGCCTCCAAATGTCTACATGGATCAATTGGAATAAATCATGTGCATGACTAGTGCTGACAGGAAAGGGTAAACGTTTGTGTTTGGAATAATGGCAAACATCACAATGAGAAACTTTAGTACTAGTTACAGTGGAATCAGTTTGCTGTAACAAGGAAATCCTATCACTACTGGGATGGCCTAATCTCCAGTGCCAAAGATCAAATTGTTGGGTACTAAAGTTGAGGGTTGCAGCTGCTTGTGGTGGTGTTGGGAGGTTGGCTGATGCTGGTGATGATTGGAAGGTGAGTTGGTAAAGGCCTCTAGACTCTCTTGCCAAACCAATCATCCTCCTGCTGAGTAGGTCCTGAATTTGGCATAAATCAGAGTGAAAGTGTAAGGCTAGGGGAAAATCTTTGGTAAGTTTACTAACTGACACAAGGTTGAAAGAAAAACTAGGGACAAGGAGAACATTATACAGGTAAAGGCCAGAAGGTAATTTGACTGTCCCTATATGTGTAACATGAACCTTAGCACTATTAGGAAGATGAACATAAGTGTTTTGAACTGAC